TCAACTTATCAATGGGCATGTCAGTTGTTCCGTTGGTTTATTTCATGCCACGAAATCGTAAATACCTCATCGTGTCCATCACAATTACAGATTGTTAACTTTATTGTTTTTTTTTGTCTGTCTGTGGGTACTCCCCGTCCACTATTTTGTCTTATGTATCAGGCATTGCAGTGACGTTGGGCTCACATTCCTTGCCCGACATTACTGATCATTTTATTGTCAAGATATGCATGTCGTGATTGGCATCACCCAATTACCATTGACACGCTGCGACGCATCGTGCCAGCCCTGGATTCCGGGTGTTCAAATGAATTTGAAGCTATAGTCCTATCTGTGTTGCATTTCTTTAGGCCATTTTTGGTTTCTAAAGGGTGGGTGAAATTACAGCATCATGCCGTCAAGGGAGTGCCTCTTTGCGGCGTTCCGATGTCACCCTTCAGCATATCCCCAGTTGTGCCATGGTGAATTTTACATTTGATTTTCAAAGGCTGGCCAGTTTGGTCGTGGTTGCACCACTACAATACCAGCCATTTAGGACAAAACTTATATTTGTCCGTTTTTGGCAATGCAACATTATCTTAGTATGTGTCCGCAGTCCATCCATTTCCTGTCTCATTTTGATGGGACTCCTGTGACCCGTTTCAAATTCACCGCTGTGCTAAAGCGTGCCTTACAATTTATTGGCTTGAGTGATGCACGCTTTACTCCTCGTTCACTCCGCATTGGTGCCGCCAGTTGAGCAGCTGTGGTGGGCATTCACGAGGCTGACATTCAAAGAATGGACGCTGGCAGTCAAATGTTTTTGCCGATATATTCGTATTTCACACCCATTCATTGCACTGATCTGCATTTTCATACTTTGACCGCTGGGCGGCATTTCATTCTGAACACTTTTGTCGGATAATTTGTTAGATTGTTCGGCAGAGGGCATAATGACTGGGACATACGCTATGCTATAATATTTGGTATTTGGTTAGAAGAATTCGTGATATTATTCCGCGGGGGGGGTCCTAAACGACCGGGAACACGCTGTGCTTGAATAATTTGCTGGATACATTTTGCTTCTCTTCCTCGGGGGGCATAACGGCTAGGAATTCGCTGTTGTAATATTTTGCAGGATATTTTGAAAATTGAAAAATGAGACCCTTTAGGAAACCTGATTTTAGTCCAGTTATTCCGGGGGGGGCATAATGACTGGGAATACATTGAGCAAAGGTTTGGAAGGAAATTCTGTGCTGCTGCTCCACACGCCGGGGCTTAACAACCAGGAATACGAATGTCATGCATAAAACTCAGATTTTGGTCCGACCTGGCAATAAAAACTGCTTAGGTCATACTTTAATAAAGTGAATATCTATTGTCCAAGTGTTATCATAATTCCTGCTGTCTCTGTGTATGTAGCAATAATGAAATGTAGTTAGGGAACCTGAAGGATGTATTAGCTACCATGAAATATCTACTGATATCACTTTGAAGTGTTTTGTGATATCATAAAAAAAATTTAACATCGGGTACAACCTTGTTCTTTGATCAAAAGAGCGTATATAAAGGGGGTTTGAAAAACTATCTTGATTTTTTAAAACGATATCTTGAAAAGACTGTTGCGACTTATCCCCGCATGCACAGGACCAGAGAACTGAAATCAGGGACAGGTGGACACTCGCATTCTAACCTTTTCCGAGTACAGGATTTACCGGATCGCTGTCAATTACTCTAGAATCGGCAAAGTGGACTACCGACGGAATGTGCATCAACATTTTTTACAGGGCAAAAAAAGGTATCAAAGTAAGCTACGTCTGACAGGTGGTGGCACTGAACAGGGTGGAGGAGGGTTGCTTTTGCAAAACAGGCAAATTTTCCCATTTCCAACCAAACCTCTTGGCTGCTCAAGTAACTCTCCAGAGCTCCTAACATTTTTAAGGTCGCGCCAGAAACTAGTTTGAGGCATTAAATCCCCGTGCCAGCAACTGCAAGTGAACACTACTGACCCACTTAGTGACAAGGGCCTCAAATTGATTAACTCGGTCAAAAAAAAAAAAAGTGATGACTTCTCTTCTGTTTTCATTGTAGCGCGCTGTGGTCTACGCATGTACCAAGTTTAATCTCAATCGGACCAAATGTTTGTGAGATGTAGTAGCTTAATTCACACAAAATTGTTTACGTCAAATGAGTCTGCTGACGTTAAAATGGCATCGTTTTGTTAAAATTGGTTGTATATCATTATTATTTTTGTAATTTTGTGTCATTTTAAGATCTTTTTTTTTCTACGGGTTTTTCAATTGTATGTGCAGATTGTATGGGGATGCAAGTCTGGCCTGTCGGTTGTGCAGGGAGTCTGGGAGTCCTGTAACTTTTAACAGCCATATACCACGGTGCTTCGGCAATGATGTTTCGAGAGTTTATCGTAGCGTTAACATTAAATCGTTTACATTATGGATAAGCAGTAATCAACATTTCTCCAAAATCCAAACCACTCCAAGGGCCAACACCAATGCGGCAAAGACTCGTTTAAAATTGAGAGGTTGAAGGATTTCAACATTATGCGTTCACACTGAGAAGGTCAATATGAACATTGCAAACCTGACCAATGTACATGTCACTGCTGCCGTGGCAACTGTAAGGCATAGACCAAGGCCAATAACGTAGATTGTAATATAAATCCAGCAATTAATCAATGGTTTCTGAAAAAAAAATTCAGTTTCTATTACAAGCGCCGAGGAAGGCAATTTGGAAAGCGCTGAAGCAATTGATAGTTACGTCCCTTTTCGTCCGTCTGACATGTACAGGTGCTGCATTTAAAAAAATATGGCAGGTACTTGTTTTCTCTATTTTTGCAAGAGAAAAAGACTTAATGTAACTATTATGTTAATTACTAGATAGGCTTTGCCAAAGAAGCTTTGTGGGGACTACACTGAATTCAAATTATACTTTTCCCGTTATCAGTTTGGTATTTGACTGATAACTGTTTTATTTTATCACACAAAACAAACACAAAAGTCTACTTCAATATATATCCTTGCACAGTCCCTCCGTTGTTGTTTTTAATGTTGTTTTCTTTTTTGATTAAATGGGACTATTTCTTTTTTGGAATGCACATTCTGTTTTTGTGTCAGTGGCAATTACGCTTTATATTTTTTATCAATTTATTCGACATGTTTTTCGCATACTGTAGTTTAATTTTAGACACTGAAAATCTAAGAGTTGTTATATCTTACCCTGACGTTTTTTGCAAAACTGATATTTAAAATTTTATTTTTGCTTTTGCTTCAACGTGCACAATGCATGAAACGAAATGTTTTCAGGTAAGGAAACAAAACTTAGTTGCCTTAGTTGCCCTATTTCTCATTCCTTTGATTTTTCAACTTTAATTAAAGTATCTGGTAGAGCAGAGTTCTCATTTTGACTACAACTTATGGGGTCAGCTTAATTTCTGCCTCTACAATGCATATTTACACCATTGTTGTTTTTTTTTTAAATTTAATTTGTGTCTGTTCTCGGACACATTGAAATGAATAATAGAAGGAGTTAAGTCTTCAATACTGTATCAGGTCAAGCCAAAAGGTAGGTGGTTAGTTACCGTGTTCCTTTGTGTCTGTTCTTGCATTCACTGCGTTATAAGCTGTGACAGCTTATTTTGACGAAAAACAAATATATGTTGTAAGATTCTTAGGCTTGCTCTGTTGGTGAATGGACCATCAAGAAATTTAAAAATGTCCTGAAGAGTGATCCTGCATTTTCCTTTCTGGTATGGCTGAAATGACACATTGATCAATCGGTGTATCACGATACGATATATCGACACGAAATTTCGGTATTTCGAATATCGATTTTTTACCAGGGGGATGTTAACTCGAACATACCTGGGGCACATTTCAGTGATACATTTTCGTCCTACAAACGCTTTGGGGTACCTCGCCCTCAGAACCCCCCTACTGACATCACTGGGCATACCTGATTTCGTCATAACGTGAAATAGTAAAATTTAGGACAGAAATTGCGGTTGAGGTTTTCAGTATTTTTGACCATGAGCTTGAAATCTGGGGAAAGACAGGATGATGATATGCACATTCAGAAGCCCCATCTTTATTTAGAGTAATTGATTATCCAGGACTGTTTCCATTCCAGATTCAAAAATAAGTAATATACAAGAAGGATTGACACAATTTTAAATTTAAATCGTATGGAGAAACGGCTACAATTCGTTGATGTGCCTATACGATTCATAAGTTTATTAATCATCTCTAATGTATAATTTTACAGAAAACACACAAGAGAACGAAAGTTAACACACCGTATTGCCTCGGCAGCTTTTTGTTTCTTCGACTGGCCATTTATGTGGCGTCTCACATAAATTAGAATTTATTAGTGAACTGGTTTGTGATTGGGTGAAATATATCAAGGTAGTTCCCCACGGTCAGCCGACTGAATCCCAGTTACATATAACGTCACAGTGTGGTGCTTCATCCACGAACCCGATTACGATTCCACAAGACATCCTGACTAGCAACAACAATCGTCTTTCATCATTACCGACAATTTTGCCCAAAACGATTATGTTGACCCTATTGATACCCTTAAATGTCTCAAGAGTAAATAATCATCCTTTCAACATACATTTTACAAATACGCAAATTTGAACTGGCGTTTCTAGAAAAAAAATGCTCTTGTTCATGAAGTTTAAGGATAAGACTGATGAGGCGACAACATGGGTGGGTGCATTCTGCACAGGTGTTCACGGGGAAGAATCGTCGCGGATTAAGGATACTCAACTGAAATTTCATTTTGTAAACAGCATATTCATGAACATGTTTCAGACAGTATAAACCAAAATAAATGGAAAATGTGGAAATCGGAAAATGTGGCAATAGTGTGTATTTTTTTCTGTTACAGTTTTGCACACACACCCTTGTTTACGAATGGAAGGGGATCACGAACCGACACACAGACTCGGCTCTCACCTTTGTCCATGAATTAATATTACAAGCAGGTTCCTATCCTGCAGCCAAATCGACAATTTGGGCAGCTTTGCAGCTATTGCAAGCTGTTTGTGGTTGGATTCAAGTTTATGAAATTGCACCTCCTTCCAACTGCCTTTTGCGGATGACATACACAAATTCAAAGAGGCCATTTAAGGTTGCAGTTCAGCATTTAATGCTGTTGTCGTCTACTGAACTCTTTTAGTGGAAAAACTCCGGAATGAGACTATTGTGCACTGTGTTTTTCTTTGGCCTTTTAGTAATGGCCAGTGAAGTTCTTGAAACATGTGCCATATTGACAGGCCAGGTCCCACAGGTATTATCCTATTCCTTGGACAAGCTTGGTGTTAGCTTGCAAATGCACAAGGTTGTCGCCTCGTCGGTACAGACATCCAAGATGCGGTGTGCAGCTACCTGCATGGCAACTGCCAGTTGCACACATTTCTGCTACGAGCCAACAACTAAGCGTTGCCTGCTAGAGAACGCTGACTCGGACATTGTGTCCAAAAGTCTGGAGAACACAGGAATTTGCTACCAAACATGCTCAGGTAGGTTTCTTGATTCCAAATTGTCAAGGATTCTTTTTCGAACGAAAAGGAGTACGTAAAAGCAGACGTTTTTAATGAGCTGCGCACGTTCGAAATAATTATAAGAGAAATTTCCTCCATTTCAAAATCGTGAGAATGTTTCCCTTTATGAAGCTCAGTTTGTGGTATTTTTAATTTTGTTGTGTTTTAACTTCAAACGCAACTAATATTACGCTCCCTTCATTAACATATATACCACATATTTTCGTAATTTTCTTTATTGCACATTTTCCTACTTTGTTGTATTTGTTTTTCAAATTGCTGATTGGTTTCTGTTTGGATGTCAGAATTGTGCATGGTGTACTACCATATTAAGACTGCAGCACTCATTATTTTGTCCGATAACAAGCATACACTTAACACTCTACCTGTAAATTTAAAAAATGCTTTACTTGAAGATATGCACACCGCACCTTCTTGGCAAAAGTGAACAAATAAATTTAAGCAGCACCTTGCGTCAAAATAACCCCAAGTTTATCCAATTTAATTGACTTCATTTGATCCAAATGCGTTTCGGCTGTAGCGTGTAGAAATTTCACATTTCAAAGACTCCTTTCCGTGTCCTAGGGCCCTTCAAGGGCCAGTTACGTGTGCACTTACGCCATTCTAGTAAAATATTGAAGACAAATTACGTATTATAATTACGTACGCACGTATGCCTTGCAACGGAGGGGACCTTTCCTTGATTCCTGACTCTGGCAAAATGTTGCTGAAGATGTTCCGGTACTCTCATGTAATAGAAGACTTACCTCCCTGCAAACAAACGTTTTTTTTTTTTTTATTTTTTTTTTATCTCTAGCTATATTCCTTCAGCATCTCTGGGCTAATTAATTACCAGCTCCCTAAGGCCCCTTTAAGGCTTTATTACACTGTTGGGAATGATCCATCGACCTTAGCAATCATTCGATGACTGCTCGATCACTGTTCGATCACTAATTCTGGCCTTGCGATCAACTAAAAATGTGTATAAGATTACAATTCATTAAAAAATAAATAAAACTAAAAAGTGTGCAGCGTAGTTAAATAATATAATTGTGGTATTATGCATTTTGTAAACAAATGAGTTATTCACAAAATCGTTGACAAATTAGGGGGATAGTTGTATCATTTGTTTTAGCTTAGAATAACTACACTCATATATTTGAGTTAGAGTGTGTATACAACACTCCCAATACTGTGTAGTAAAGTGTGCATAAGATTATCTCAATTTATGATGCCTTGAAAATCAGGGATAAGTGAAAATAACATGATTGTACTATCAGTTACCAAGGGGGACATTCTGCTTTACAAATTATTTATTTTTTTCTGAGTATATTCAGTGGAACATTTTATAAACACAAAATACCTAAACTCAAACCCTACTTACTCAGAACCTGGATTGGGTTCACATCCTTTACATTTACATATAAAAATGCTGAACGAAAACAAACAAAACAGAACCAGGTTATCAAAAATTGCACCATTTTCTAGTAAGGGTGAACTAGAGGTTAATTCTAAGGTTGCTTGAAATCATGCTTGAAGAGTTTATTCACATACTCCAACTAGGTTGTTTCTGGGTTTGGGTAATCTTAATGTCCCTGACATACTGAATAATATCTGTGGCCAAACTATGCTGATGTGAGTTTTTTCCAATTAACCATACAAGCTTGAAACACTGGACCGAAAGGAAATGGAATGACCATAGGCTGGTATGTTTAACACTGTACTGGAATATGCACTACCCACGTACATGTACCTGTACAGTGCACAAAGAGTGTAAAATAATTTACATGAACAATAAAGAGTTCCTATGCAATAATTGCATGAGTGATTATTGTATGAACGGAAAGCCTATGTTATGTCTTACGTGACCCAATTTCAAACATCTTGGCGTCGGAATCAGAAAAACAATACATGCAAGACCATGTACAAACGCATGTACAAATGTATGTGGATGTACATGTACGTGCACAAACACTTATGTACACAAACATGCATGTCACATGCTCCTCCGTGTCTATAGTTTCATATAACTGTACGTGACTCCTGTGCTGCCATTTCGATCATGTAATGCATATATCTCAGCTAATGCAATTACAAATTTCCACTGGAATGGAAGGCCGTTTCGAAATTAAGATGCGTTTAGTCAGATCACAGATTTCGTCGAGGAATGGCGCAACTGGAACGGTGCTGCACCCTATGGCTCCACCTAGGGGATGGACACTGTCCAAATGGCACGAAAATGTACTCAAAAGTGAACTCAAGTGTCATGGAAACATACATTTGCATTTATATGCAGCATTTACAGCGGCCGTAGAAGTACTTAACGTCAAGGAATATTGATGTGAAAAATTGATTTTGGCATAAAAATTTAAGAAAAATTTGGGATTTCTTTTTGATGAAACTTAACAAAATCGTAAAAATAGGGGTGTCTCTAAGTCTGAAGTGTTCTTAGGAAGAAATGAAAAATATGCAACAATAAGGCCAGGCTCTGCTCAAAAAGATGTATGTACTGTGTCAGTAGATACTCTATCTCCAGATTTCATAAAATTGGCTCAAGAGGTTTGTTATCAATTTGAAAGAAACCGTGCGAAACTTCAGCTCTCTTGTTGCTATGTGTAACTACGCGAATCTTAGGCGTATGCGCCTTAACTAAAAAGCCACTGTGAACTGAAGTGGGGACCGTCCATGAGAAGTGCCAAGAAACTCCTCAAATCGCGCCAAAATGTTATACATTGTAAGTGACTACCCGTCAAAGGGCGTGACTTTGAGATGACGTATTATGTATGCACATTGATAGCGTCACTTATAACAACCTATTGGCCTTGTGCTAGACACCGGTAGGTCAGAGTGCACTGTTGCATTGAAAATTAACGATCTCACCGGGTGATCCCTGGATCCGTTCTGGCTTGGTACACGTACCTCAATTCTGTGCCTTCACTGCGTACGCTATGGGTTGCCAGTAGGGTTCTTTGTAGCCCCCAAATAGGGCTCTCTGTTACAACCTGTCTCTTATCTGTCGCTACCACAGCCCTACTTCTAGGCATGTCTTAAATGCCTGAAATCCAAACTGCAGGATTGTCACAAACTTTAAATCGTTATATCTTCCGAAATGAGAATGACTCGACAATTTTACTTACATCGGCGTATTTCTCAGAGTTTGGACTTTCATACGAGCACCCTAAAGCTTTCCAGAATCGTAAATTTTCCGATGTATGGTGCCTTGAAAAACCCGGCCCGAACTATTCAATGCTGACCACGGATGGCGCCTTTTTGAAAAACGAAGGCAGCGCTTTGTACGTGGATTTCAAGGTACCCTACAGGTGCTCTGTATACGTTGTACCATCCAATATACCATACTGTAGCGCTGGTAAAGAATGCAACTCGGGCGCAACTCACTGTTTTGGTCACGAAACCTCTGTTTTATTGCTGTCGCGTACACCACAATGTGCTCTTCAGACCAGCTCTTAACATGGCGCCTGTCGGCAGGGACTGCACATGCGCGAGGCGGGAAAACCGCGGGCCGTTTGCATACCAGCGCGGGCAGCCAGCCAACTCCATGCGGGTCCGGGCTGGCGCCCCCACCGGCCGGACCCGCCGGCGCTACAATACAATATGCATGTTCTGTATGGGCGCATGTTCACTAGCAAAGTGCGTTCGCAACTTATGCTAAGCAATACTGTGACATGAATTATGCATCAACGCTCGAAGCACTGCCTTCCTTTTTCAAAATTGCACCGCCCGTGGTCAGCATTTATTTGCGTGTAGTTTCGTTGTGAAAATTGAAGTAAACTGCGGGCGACTTTTAGTTTGGCCTTTTTTTCTTTCAATTATTTTGTAATTACATTTACTGTTTTCATTTTGGGAACTTTTTTGAGCATATTGTTTTCAAATGTTGGTTATTTCTTTTTAAAAAATTATTTCTGTTATAAATCTTTTACAGTTTATTTTGTGTTTTATCATTTACATTTTGATATGAAAATGTTCGCCAGCGACTATTTATTTTTGGTGAAATTGATTTTTGTGACATATAACTGTTATTTCTTTTAATTGAATTTTTCAATAATTTGTTTCTCAGATTTTTTGGTGAAATTGATTTTTGTGACATATAACTGTTATTTCTTTTAATTGAATGTTTCAATAATTTGTTTCTCAGATGGTTTTTTATGTTTGTTTTGTGTTTTATTACTTAGATTTTTGAATAAGAAGAGTTTGTTTGCTGGTAATTGTTTATTTTTGTTAATAAAATTAATTTTGGCTGTTTTGGCCGCCCATATTTATTGGTTCTTGTTTGTAGCCTGTTTGGTCAACACTTCCAATTAAGTTCTTAATTTTTGCCAAATCAACACAAAGACACTTCTCATTCCGTCTGGACTTGACTGAGAAGCAAGGTTCATACTGTTTTACATACACAAGAAATATCAATACCTATGTTTACGACATCACTTTCGAAAAATGTCTTAAAGTCGTTGTTGATTTTATAGGCCTATGGTTTTTCAAGAATATCAACTCTAAGTGTGCAAACGTTTGTAATTTGACACATGGTGACTTAATTATAACTTCATTATTTTTGGTAATTTTGCATCTATGGCTTTGCCTTGCCCATTGATCATTGTCAATTTGGCCAACTAAGGCCAAATGCTGCAATCGCGCATGCGCGTTGATGAAAGCAACTGACTTCTGTTTGTATCATATTTTTGAGCGAAACTTGACCTTCTCGCAAGGGGGTCTTGCTTAAGGCAACTTTGATGAAGACACGTGCATCCAAAAGGACTCAAGTCAAGTATAAAAATGTGAAGAAATTGAGCTGTTATTTATCTGTTTTCTAACAGAAACTTTTTTTTTGGTGTTCGTACGATTGTAAAATAAATACACTCACCACAAACACATGTACTACAAAAGACTTTTAGCAATTGTATTTATAGACCGCCCCGGTGTCAACCGTAATCAGAGGCCATTTGATTCCAAGTTTCATCCCGTTGGAATAATTATTAGAATCTATTTTGAGTGGTTGAATTATACTAAATATTGGACACACAAACAGAATTCTACAATGCGAGTTTAATTTTCAAGCAAAAAAATTAGGCCTTTGTTATTGACGGGTCGTGTGCATGATCACTACAAGCCAAATATTTCTTACAATTGTCACCAATTCTTATTCTATTATTTGATTGGTAATTTAAAAGCGGCATCTTATTTTATTTTTTAAGTTTATTTTTAGATTTTGGAAAATTTGAGGGGTGTGTTTGTTGTTACTCAGGTCTCCTTCTACATACGTTTTTAACCAAAGATTCAACTATCATGATACTAGATTTCAAGCGGCATCAAAAACATTCGCTAGCAAAATAAACTGAAAGTGCATTGTTGACTGTTTCCAGAAACCTCTAAGACGATTTCTAATTTGCAATTAAAGTAAAACATAATTGAGACAAGAGCTTGCCTGAAACAGAACAGTTTCGTAACTGCTTATTAGGTATGCTCTCATCCCATTCCAACACAAACGTATAAATCTTAGTACTCCCGTTGTGTTGTTTTTGTTGTTTAAGAAAACGGTATTTTTCCTACCACAGTCAAGTGTTCAACCCCGAGGCCGTTGGGAATGGAAGACTATACCATCACCAATGCACAAATCTCAGCGTCCAGTAATTACTACACAGGATGCTGTCATGCCCATTATGCACGGCTCAATAGACTTATCCGATGGTCACCATTAAGGTAGGTATCAAAACCCTCGGGGCAGCCAAGCCCCAAAACGAAGACTGTTGTCACCACGTGGAGATTCTAACGCAGTTCCAAGTCATGCCTGAACCTGTGTGACTGTTTTATGGTTGCTATTACATCCCTTGGGTCCCCTCTAACTATATTCCATTATGCTGCTGTGGAAGTACAAGTGATACCAGGTCACAACCCAAACAGCCTGACCAAGTCATTTTTTTTCTCGAAAACTACAGCATTCTGGGTGGAAATATTTTACCGACTCATTGAGACGTTTATGTACTTTCTTTCAAGTAGGACATTTCAGGATTATGTGGTAGTCCGATTTTCGAGGGTTTACCAACGGCTTACACCACCTTTAATTAAACCTCTTGTTCTGATTAAGTTAAATCCCCATAATTCACGGTCCAAGTCTTTAAGACACCCACTCCGAATCCTGGGTGTCCGAGTGACCACATCTAAAATCCGCATGAGAATAGTTGTATGTATAAAAATGCTGCATGATGAAAAAGATGCTTAATATGGGACAGATATGAAATGCACGGAGATCTTTATGGACCAGTTTCTTAATTAATATGCAAATTGTATGTACAAGAACTCAAAACGAGGCTGCGAGGAACTTCGAGCTGTTGGCGAACATGGTGAAGCATTGCTCAGCGCCGTTTTGTAGCGATCACCGTATACGAACGAAGAAATTAGCTTTCATTGATTCCCAAAGAACAAGATCCTGCAGAAAAAGTGGATTGTTCAATTTAGATCAAATGAGACTACTAAGGTAGTTTGTGACTTCCAAACGACTTCCTTGGGCGGTTAAAATGTTTGTGTAAAAATCGAAATCTCAGGCCCTACACGTTATTACTTTGGGTTCAGTTCGATTGATCCTGTCTTTTCCTTTCTCCATAATTGATAGCGCTCAGCAGAATGAAATAACGTCTGTAATTTTCAAATTAGAAACTCTACAATTCTGAAATTGGAAAAGAAATAGCCCAGTCATTAAAGGTACCCCGCTGAATGACAAAAAAGGTTCCAACTGCTAAATCGTGGTGAAAACCGGCCCTTTAGACCTGGACACAAACGGTGCGTGCACGCAACGTCAACAAATGTCCCAGATAAAATCCCGTTACTAAACAGCTTAATCTTCAGATTATGAATGAAATTAAGCTTCTGAAAAATACTTGTAGCCTTTACCAAGTTGTTGCTCTTCACTGCTTTGGGGCCCTTTTTGACTTACAAACCCGAAGGTTATCTCCAGAACCACAGTCATCGTCGCACGCGAGTCCCCAAGAGCCTTGCTTTTAGTTGAAGTGAATACAATTTGCAAAAATATTAAGAAAGGTCCATGAATGGCAGGTTAAGCCAAATAAGTTGAAGGGGCCAGTTGAAAAAATACAGGTGTACACATTTCAACGTCGATTTCTCTGAGCTTCCGCACTTTTTTATATTTGTTTACGGCAAATCTTGTTAAATCTTCTGCCTCTCTGAAATATTCTGCCAAGGCGCATTAATTCCTTCAATGGAAGCAATTGCAAAATACGCTGTGTCTGAAACAGCCAGTGTCAGCGAGTGCAACAATTGCTCACTTCCTCAGCCACCCTAAAGAATTTTAACCCGTCTTCTTCATTCGTATTTCGTCACTCTGAAATTTTAATTACAACGATTCCGGAAAACATTTGATTCTCACCAATTAGAAAGGTGGACAGGGGTATCCAAGTACACCCCATCTCCCTTTTGCTCTACGCCCTTTTATAAGTCTGTCTCGAAACGGTCTGATTGGTATTTATTCTTTTGAGGCACTCTGTCTTCACTTGAACGTCTGTTAGAAGAGTGTTGTGGTTTCATTTTGCCCTTATCCCGTTCTGTGTAGTGGTGACTCTTATCCCTGGATCGAGGTGGACCTTATGGAGAGAACAGTAGTGTCCGGTGCCAGTACGCAGGGAAGTCCGTTCGACTACTGGTACGTTAAGAAGTACAAAGTGGCATACCAGAGGCAACCCTCGTCTGAGCGCGTATACGTGACAGATGGAAAGGGACACGTCGCGGTATGTGTAAACTGCAATTAATTACAGATGTCGACGGCCATATACATCTACGTTGTGGACAGGAAGGAGTTTCCTTACACCCCCATCTGATAGCAACTTTATCTTTATGCACCCAACAATTACATTATGTTAAAAGGGGGGTGTTCTGTTGGAGCCAATTGATTTTTCATTGTAATTCGCTAGGCTCATATGCATGAAAAATACATTATTTTGCGGAGACTCAAATATCACAAATGCAAAAGGAGGCATTTGCAAATCAGAATGTTTTTAATAAAGTCCTGATCTTAGGCTATGGATCTGTACACCACGCAAAGGCCTTATAATCCAACCTATAAAGTACCTCTGCCGATGCTGAATACCCTAGTTTAGTCGCCTTTGAGGTAGGGATTTCCCCTTGGCTGGTATAAGTTTCACCAGAGCCAGCCTCTTGCTAAGTCCCATAGGAATACGTATTAATCTCTCTGCCACGTGGCCCTTATGGGATTATTTATACAAAGGCTGCCTTGGCCAGCCAGGGTCTTTCGTATATCAATTGTCGGTCTCTCTGGTGTGTCTCTGAGCTGTCCCGACAGCTGTCTGAGTTGTTTCACGTTATGTCGTAAAAAAAATCTATAATTTATCAAAGAGAGCTTCATTACTAAAAGAAATAGAGTGATCTTCTTGAGATATTGGGAACATACAAGATGCACTCACCGCAAAGTGCTAGACCTGAAGTGTTCAGGCTTGGCTGAATGACTCTATTTATAGAGGTACACGTACTTGATACGGGTCACATGACGAAAAGAGGCGGGAAGCGGGCCCAAGCCCCATGACTATGTAAGAGGCGCGGGAAATACCAGTTTTCTCATAGTCAAATCTAATAAATTAGTTTTTCATGCTACTTCGCTTCGCTCCTACGCATGAAAAACAGTTTATTTCTTAAACAGTCAAAGATCATAACTGTAAAAAGAGACATATTTGCGAATCGGAATGTTTTTTAATAAAGCCTGGGAAAGGGGGTCATCACAAGGCGGCCCCCAAATGAAGATTGCCAAAGAACACATGGCGGCAAAATAGAGTGAACTGGCCTTCAGAATTGTTATTTACCTTGAAAAAGGCGATCAGAAGAACGGAGGATCTGCCTAACTGCACCATATTGGAGAAAATAAATTCTTGATCTCTGAGTGTCGAGACGCAAGTTCTTTCCAGGCTGCTTCTTCGGCTACCTGGACTCGTTTTCTTTGCCCTATTGAAAGATCTTCCGAACCGGACCTGCCTTTTCCTCATGCTACACGACAGTCCATCCAGCTTTACCACTGTCAGCAGTCTTATGTTTTTGTTTTTGTTTTGTTTCCAGTCCTTCATGAGGCCTTCTCCTGTCTTGACGATCACTATATTGTCAAAATAAACCACAGGCTGCTAGCAGAATTCGTATTGAACTGTGTTTCCTGGCGTATTCAGAACTTAAGCCACTAGCTCGCTCTTGATTACTTTCAGATCTTGGTCCTCTGATTTTCATTTGAAATACGTTTAAACTTATCAAAATAAATCTTGAATTCAAATAGAGCTTCAGTACTAAAAGAACTAGATTGATCTTGTTGAGACACTATGGACATACAAAATGCACTCAGCAAAACGTTTTGGACCTGAAGTGTTCAAGCTTGACTGGATGACTCTGTTTATAATGGTACAGTTCGTGAGGTTTTAATGAATGGATACAGGTCATATAATGGAAAGAGGCGGGAAGACACGCCCAAACACCATGACTAAGAGGCACTTGAAAAAAAAACAGTAGTATCATCGTCATATCGAGTTAAACTAACTTTCCTTCCTAAACCCTTGTACAATAAAAAGCAAGCAAACAACCCTAAAAAGAGCAATTTATTTTCGTGCATCCCACAGCCGTGCGAGGGGATTCTGCCCCCCACCACCTAAGAACTTGGCTGTGCCCGGCCTTAGTTTTTTTTTTTTTTTTTTTTTTTTTTGACTCTTGGTATGCATGTACAGACACCAATTATTTGAAACGTGAAGCTTGAGCTCAATCGGACTTACATGTTTTGTTGTTACGGTCATTTGAAGTTTATGGCTACATACGTGTCAGTACGTGGGTATTGGGCAATGCAGTGGAAAAAAAAGTCTACATTTTTTGTTTTTTTCTCTTGGGAAATGTGCTCCATGCGACAACGGAATATTTAACTTTTGCAAAGTGATGTCAAGATGATCACAGAAACTTATTCCAAAATTTATGAAGTTTCGACTCCTAACAAATGCATTGTGGGATATTGGGAAACAACTTGTGGGGGGACGTAGCGTATCTCTGTTGCTGATAGCATCTGGAGGATGCACTGCAACCCGTAGTAGTGGGAGAGGGGCAGTCTGGACCAGTTTGACCTTTGACCGAGAAAGAGAAAAACATGTCACATGAATATGGATAGTAATACTATGACAGTGATATGAATAACAGTCCCACCCGAGTTAGCTTGTGAATGTTTTAGCAAGCTCTCGGACTGGCACTGAGCATACAGTGTTTATCAATATAACTGTTAGGTAAGGGCAAAACCCGGTACATGAATTTACATCTCCCAACGCAAAAATACATCTTGAAATATTGGAAATATTCATCCTAGTACAAGCACTGGATTGTTCAAAATCCGTTGACGACAGTTGACCTTGTGAGGTTCAGCAACAGTGCTACCCTCCAATATGCCCAATCTCTATATGCACTATTGTTACCTAGCACATCCCCCAAATATATGAAAAGAATTCATTCCTCAGAGTCAACGAAACAATGACCAACACAAAGTAGGGGAGGGTTCTCTCCCTCAATTATCTTGCTTCTATACCCAGCAAGAAATCAGACTGAGGGGTACCCCCCAACATGTCCAATTCCTATACACATTCCAGACTATTGTTACTTGACACNAGGGGGGGTTTCTCTCCTTCTCATACCTTGCTGCATATGATCCAGGCAGGAAAGCCTTCATTAATGTTGGGTAATCTTTAGGACAAAGGGCTGTGCACGGGGCTGTGTAGTGGGGGTAATCTCTCGGACAATGGACTGCACGTGGCGTCGGGGAATACCGTGTTAATGATTTGACAATGGCTTGGCTTGGCTTGGCCAATGAACGAGAGAGGGCATGAGCTAATGGTCCTGCGTTGGAATTAAGGAGTCAATCTGATCATGTACATAGCCAGGGCGCAGCGAACACTTGCTGCACTGCACCTGTTTCAAAATTATAAGCCCCTTATGATCAAATTTTTGCTGTTAATCTGCACCCTGAAAATGTTGTGCACTGCAATATAGGAAGTTCAATAATCATTCCATCGTTGGTGCTTGGTATGATCTGACAACAACATCTAATTTAATGCTTGTGCAATTACTTTTATTAGGCTGTGTACCCAAAGTGTTCATGTGCAGTTATTACCCTTAGCAAACGCTTCCTTCTGGACTTATTTTGGGAATAAATAGTCAAGTTGTTCAAAAGATTTTGTTTTATTTGAGTTATTTTTTATTAACTAAGGAATTTACATAACAAGGTATTTTATATGACTTCATAATCACTTCTTGTGATGAAACAACGCATTTTGTTTTTCGTGAACTTAACTGTCCTATGGTGGTCAACTTGTTGTTGGCCAGTCTTAGCCAAATTCGCACAAAAAGTTTGAAAACTGGTTTCGAGTGAAAAAAATTAAATATTAAAACAGTGCATATATAAGGGAGAAGTGCATGGAAATCTTTTTTTAAATTCATGACGGCAGAGGTAAATCCGATGTTATACATGATTTGTTTCTATTTCCTGGTCAATGCAATAAGTTGTAGTTAATTATTTAGTCAAATTATTTCTGTGACATCACTCCTTTGTTCAAAGTGTAGTTATTTTTTACGAAACTACAACAAACTTTAGAATTGGACATTCTAATTTTTGAGATCTTACAAATCCTATACACTGCCTTTAATACCGTATAGATTCCCTCCTTCCAGTGATATGTCATTTATTCGCACAGGCTCATGGACAGTCCCAGTTCACTTTGTCCCAGTGTTCCCCGCCAAAAAAATGATTGTTCAGCTATACATGGTCGTGTGTAATTAAATAACATATCGTTGGAAAGAGGGAACCTGTGGCTTTACTGTGCTAGTAGTCATTTCGGTGTGAAACTAACACAATCTCCACAAAATTGAAAATAAATGTTGTTGCTTTTTTATACGCTTTGTATAGTCTACAATGAATGTGTGACATTAGGTACTTCTACCACTGTGATAGCTGACTGAAATAGATTTAGGCAATGCACGCAGTCTGTGGTTTCGCTGCAAACATGTCATTTGGCGTATATGAATTTGCCTTGCACTGTTACCCTTTACATTTGATTTTTTTAAAGGACGCCTATTGTACAAAATGACAATTTCACCTGAAAATAATGTTGTATTTATTGGGTTTTGTTGCAGACATTCACTGGTAACACTAATCGCCACGCTCCGGTCACTAACCTGTTTGATGAGAGTGTGGTGGCCACGTCGGTGCGCATCGAGCCTACCAGTTGGAATGGTTGGATTGGACTCCGGTTTGAGTTGCTTGGGTGTCCTCGTGATTAATTCAGAACTAATTTGCAGCCCCGACAAATACAAATTAAGATTATTTTGATTTCCAGCAGACAATGATATTTGACGAGGTTGCAATTGATGATACTCAATGTATATCACAGAGAAGCAATACACTGATCACTTATATATTCCTCTGAATAATTTATTCCTACTCTGTTATGTACATGTATACACACAATTTCTGTGTGTGTCAGCTTGTGTAACGTTACCGCACACGATGCTGTGTTCGTCCCGTGTTTTAACTCAAACCACGATGGATTGACCTTGCGGTAGTCCAGACTATTCTACTGTAGTTGTACATTCCTGAAGTATCCTGTATGATATCGTTATTTCTAGCTGTCTGAAAGTTTCTTGTAAGATTAAATAATGCTAAAATGTGTATTTGAAAAAACTCACGTAGTAGAAAGAAATTTTGGGAAGAGTTGTAAATTATAAAAGACGGGCTCTAGTGGGCAAAGTCAGAAGGAGACTAAAGGAGGGAAAGAGACGCGCATGCGCACCAAGAGAGGATATGGAATTCAATTCTACCGTGGGCGTGTTCTAAGAAGTCGTTGACTTATTTACTTTTCCACTATTTCAGTTAGTGATGACGAGTTGTCTGCGCAACGACACTTGTAAAAAAATTCGTTCAGACCAAGTGAAGTGCAATGCTGAATTTTGTTCCGGAAGAGACAGTTTGTGAACTGAACCCAGTTCCAGTTTGGAGTAGCAAAGTTCCCGTATTTGCAAGGGTCATCACGCCCTCGCCATTTCGTCTCGAGCCCGGTCATTCTTATTGAACGTGGTCTTTGTTCCCATTCCAGCTCATTTTTGCACCTTCAAGGAATAAACTGTTTTTCGCCATCTATAGAGTCCATCATTCTTTGCTGTAGTGTGTACCAAGCTCTAGGTCCGTTAGATCATCTTGTTTATATAGGATTTTTTGTCTTGATTCCTTATCCTTATCATTGTAAACTAGTTCCAATTACCTTTTTTTCGTTTTCTGTTACTTGCTAAGCGTAACATTCTCCTTAAATCATAATTTTTATTTGTTCGTTAAATCAGTATGATCGTGTTTGACTTCTTTACTGCATTGAGCAAGAAGGACTTTCTTTTTGTCAAATATTTTCAATTTTCTTTTGATTTGCGCAATATGCGGGACAGGCATGCCGTTTCATGGCTTTTAAGTTTTATGGCTTTTTACTGATAAAAAAACCCTTGCAACTTTGGATCTTCATCAAACTTACACCACCAATGGATCCTTGTGATTAGATGTGTCTATAGAAACGACGTCATGGTGACGTCATTGAAAGATTTCTTAATATTCGGTTTAAAATGGGTGGGTGGGCGGCTGGTTGGTTGGTTGGTTGGTTGGTTGGTTGGTTGGTTGGTTGGTTGGTTGATATCCCTCCTTCCATCAATTCATTCATTTAGATGCCCTGCCTTACGTTTGCAGTTGCATAAATGGTATGGGTTTGTTCGTGTAGTTATAAAATTCAGAGGAGAAAACACGAAATCCAAAAGGCAAGCGTACAGAAAAATAGATGCAAATTATTTTTAAATGGGATCTAGCAATGAGGCAGAGAGCAGTATGTCGAGCAATCCGTACCAAACCACATATTTTCCATACCAACCGAACGTTCTCTCTGCAATTTTGTTGATCTCATTTTATATTGATTTCAACCGACATTTCAAATTGAAAGTATTCAAAAATCCATATTCCCTGCAAGATGAAATACACTATTTTTTACCAAATCCCTTTAAACCAGTGTATAACGTTCAGGTTGAGAAAGAGTGAACGTTGTCGATGTCTTTGCGCCTGCTGGACGCCCTTGCTGGCACAGAGCCGCAGCATGTGGTTGGTCAGGAGAGACAACATAACTTGCCTGCCTGCAGCATCAAAACACCAAATGCATTACGGCAGGAAACGCGTATTTTTATCAAAAGTAAAAAACTGCCTGTCTTTGACCAGTTCCTATCACCTTTTGTTACCTGTTTTGTTTTATTTGTTTTGTGTTTTTTTCTTTAGTGCAGCCTCTTTTATTAATTAATTTATCTTATCGTCAGGGTGATTTCTGAACAAAAAAAAAGACATTTCATAGCGTGCACAATGTATCTTGTCATGCTTGAGCCATGAGTAATCTATGGCGTCAAATGGAACAACATTAATTTGCCTGGGTCAAGTAAACCAAAAAGTTGAATGTAGGTTGAACGGCCACTGATATAATGTCTCCATACTCCTTCAGTGTAAGAATGAGCCAACATTTAATTTTAGCCTTTGCAGGAAGATTTTTGAGCTGAATTCTGACTCGGAGGTTCAATTGAACTTTGTTTTTTGGACGTTTAATTAACATGCAAGATTTGCTTGTAGAATGTCAGAGCACTTATCCGCCTGCTGAGACGACAGAAGGGAATTTTCCCAACTTCCCCACACAAATGGGTTTTACTGTATTTTCATGCTTCCTAAAAGCAATGAGAAAAAAGACAGTCTGTCATAATGATGACTCCTCATTAAATATTGAAATGATTGTAAATTTGTGCGCTGAGTTTATTAATTATTTTTTAATAATTAATTAAGTATTATTTATTTATTAATGTTGATATTGATGTTAACGACAATAGTTGAGATATAATGGCCATTACAATAAATAGTAACTGTACTATGGCATATTGTGAGTAGAGAATTGATAAGCAGCTTATGACAAAAAAACAAACGTCACAGTTCTGTAATGCAAGCGTCCACATTTGCAGAGAAGACAATTGGATCAAATTGGATGCAGTCAAATATTGAACTGCAGAGGGTAACTTTGTCACGCAGGAAATTATCATTTAGTTGTTTGGTTTTGTGAGTTTAGTGAAAATAAATTAATTAAAGTGTATATAAATCCAAAATTAAAGTCAATGAGGTTTTACTGAATGTATTCACCAAAGGTAACTATGTAGCAAAAGCAGTGCTTTCTTTTTCTGGTCAAAAATCCAATCATGGAAAAAGAAAGTGAGTACACAACTAGACAGCCATGCCCCGTTGTGTATGTTTTCGCCATTGCTGCAATACATGATCGTATTCCCGTCCCTATTAGCAATGGGAGGGAGAGAAAAAGGATCATGTTATCAGACAAGCTTGACTTTTGGTGATGAAACCCTTTCGAATTTCAAAATTCTGTTCCATCAATCAGCATTTTTAAGACCCGCAGAAATATTAGGGTCATTTTTGGTCGGCATACCGAGACATCTAGTTTGGGATAAAAATACAATTAAAATCCACTCAACAATAATGACACAGTCACTGAGTGGGCCATTGTAAATTGAAAAGGTGTTGATAGCCTTTAAAGATTAGGTGTCAGATTGAAGAATCAGAAAATTATACAAGTAGAAAATAACTTCACCGTGTCGGTCAAGAGCCGAAGACAGGAGGGTTAAGATTTATTTTAGGGGTGTTTAGGGTTAGGTTTATGCAGGCGGGGTGATGTGGCCGAACTCCCCACGGTTGAAACGTCGCACGGACACGGTGGACAGGAATACACGGTAGTCCACTCCGGTGTACAAAAATATTCATGTGGTCTGGGGGTTATATTGTCATTGATCAGGTCTTGGACGTAACAACGTAAGGACATGATGTGAGATGATATGAGCTGTAACGCCATTGTGCCTGGAGACGTTCTTGAATGGCTTGTCACCAGATACGATCAGTTTGGTAGGAGAGGACGCTCTTTAGGTTGACGTAGCCTAAACAGAAGGCCCCGATGGACTTGCAATAGTGGCCAGCCAAGACATTGCAATCTACACAGGACTGATACGAAAAATGAACTTAAAAATACAGGAAAATGATTAAACTGGACTGGCTAGAAATGGTTCTACGGAATCTATATCTACACACAAACAGGCGGTAAGAAATTTGGAATCAAACAAATACTAAATACCACCACAATCACAAGAAGAAGGGGCGGCGGTGGCATACGAGTTGTAGTCTGTTTCGACAAAAAGAATGCCTTTTTTCGCAAAATGCAAAAAAGCCAATAATTGGAAACTCGTGCTGGGGATGGAACGCAATTGTTTACCCCCTTACCGACTCGCACCATCGGAACTGCCCCTGTGTGGGCTGGCCCAGCTGGCAATGGATTAACGCTGCATAGCCTATACTGTACATCAGTACACAAACTGCGTCTTACCTATTGTTAGATGGATCAAGATTGTGATCGGGAACATAGTTTCCCTGAATGTTTCCAGCGTTCTTAAGAGCACCTACCTAGCGTTTGTTTTGAGCAAGTTGGTGGTGGAAATGATGGTTAGCGATTTTAAGTTTAAAAAAGAATTTAAAACTTAGACGTGACTAACTGATGTGTTTGCATGGCATTGGCTGGCCCAACCCGCTCACAAAACCTTATGTTTGTATCCATATGGGGAATTTCAAGTTCCTTTCATTCTCTTGTAGTACAAAAATAATGTGCGAAGCAGAATTGCCTCTATTCAAGGTACCGTTTTAGTACACCACAGGAACAAAGAATGTTCTTTGTTGGGTACTTTTTTATGTTCTGGTACCCCACAAGGCATCATGAACACTTGCACGGAGACAGATAGCCAAGAATGGATCAATAGAACAATAATGGAAAATGTCTCAACCAAGGTTGGTCTAATTTAGTAATGCCTTGACCCCCAAGATTAAACACTGACACTTTTTTTAAGAACTGGCGCCAAAGCGTCTAATTGGCTATGCCCATAACTTAGTGTAGTTGTCTTTGATTATTAACATATATTTGCCCTAATGGTTTGAATGGCCGTTGATGAAGACAGTCTCATAATTGGTTCCACCGAAGCTGATGAAACAGTCACAATTAACAAGAAATATTACAGTTCCCAAGGATTGTTCCCACTCAATTCTCAGCATAAAACCTTCAATTAGTGACTATATTGTCTCAATTAGCTCCTGTTCAAAGTTGACGACCTGAAACCGCAATGCCAAACAGCAAAATACTTGTTTGGTTCCTGATTGAAGCGGGTGTCGCAGACTCACGATGACAATGAACACAAGTCTTCAGCTTGTTCGCACTCAAAGCTGATGAGTGGAGCTAAAATGCCAGCAAGGGGATGACTTCATTTACCCTGAAATGCTGATTCTTCTGCCCTCACTGTAATGAGCATAAACAGATATGCAGAGGCCTAAACATCTTTCCAAGTGGGCGCCTTGACCGGAGCCGTTTAATGGAAAACGATGTAAAATTGTGAACAAACAGATATACAGAATGTTTGAGTCACAAGGACAAAAATTAGTAAGTTGCATAACGATACACAGCAAATGTAGGAAATGCAGGAATTCTAAGGACTAGGACAAGTATATTCTAGGTAAAATACATCCATGCACAAGTGGATTACTGCAAGAGGACACAAGTAGATGTAACTACATACTCATGTACCTGTAGAAAGAATCCATGTATGAATTCACGGGTAAAAACAATGTGTGGAGAGTATCACTATGAAACCTAATAAATATGAACAGTCCTGTGCACAGACACATGTAGATAAAAGTGTAACAGGCACAGTCATAAAAATGCGTAAAAACACAGGACATGTATGCGTGTACTAAAAATCTTCACTAAAAACATTCAGGAAAAGGTACATATACATGTCAGACTACATGAACAAGGCAGTAATCTATAACAGGCTTTTACATGTACAATGAAGATGAACCATAAGAATAAATGAAAGCCAGACAATTACGAACTGAGAGTTCCCCAAAACAGAGCCTGTGGTAAAAACATTACAGGAATTGGCACGGCACTATATTTGTATACAAAGTACTATTCACGTGAGTTGCAGAGATGAGCGTGACACTGACAGGGACTTTGTTACCAGAAATAAACCCTGAATCAGACTTACATTAAGCTATCGAAGACTATAAATTAAAGGAAACATGGAAAAGGGTAAACTTAAGGATTGTGCTTCGACAAGGGCTTGGAAATAAAGGTGGGAAGTTGTAAATGTACCATCAAGGTAGCGCGGATGACATGGAGCGGCAAAGGGAAAACTAATGGTAGAGGGCGCTAGACTAAATTATTGTGGTTGAGCAGCCCGAAGCGGAGCTATGACAGAACTGCAATGACAAACTAACAAAAGTTGTCGGTCTGATTGCATTTTTTCTTTCAATATTGGGATCAAACAAAGTGGCTACCGATCCAGTGAGTAACGCAATTTATGTGGCTCCTGTATATACCACAATCACTCATGGGGAGTCTTTTGGACTCTCTTGGCGGTTTTCAGAAACAATCTGGATGCACGGGCAAAATAAGACCCTTACGTCACTTTAAGTCACTGCAGCCCTTCCTTATTAGCACGACCTTGTCATGTCAAAAATTTATAATTGAAATGATTAAAATCTATACATATGACGATGGTCATAGTTAAGTTCCCGTCGAAAATGCACCGTCTTTAACGGTCACAAGCCGATTAAAACATATACAAGTACCGACCACTCTTACGCACGATGTAAAATAATATTGTGGTGGGTAACTCTCGTGATTGCTCCAAATGGACTACACGTAGTTTCCGTATCAATATCGCACGATAACATAGAATTGTTAGGATGCATTATAAAATGCTGACAATAAAACTTATAGGAGATGAGGGGTGGGGCTCAACGTTCTATCCTGAGGGGCACTCTTCATTATAGGTCACAAAATGATTTCCAATTGGATTTGATTCACTTCTATCTATTACACTGGTTTAAAGGAAGCAGTTAAATAAATAGTACAGGTGCACAGGGTGGAACATGGAGGATGACATGACAGAAATAAAACCTCACGTGTTGCCGCGTCCCTGAACACAAAAAGGTTAAAAAGACAAAAAACACACACTTTTTAATTACGTTGTGTACTCGAACATTTTGAAATACGAACCGGTGCTTCTTCAAGTGATACCGGTAAAAAAGGAATGATCATGCAGCCATACAGAAAAAAATACTGGACCCGGCCTGAGCAAACACGGGAATGTGTGTATCGCACCGCGGTGTGTACCGAACGAAAGAACTGTCGCATAGCATAGCACACTTTGCGTACGAAAGTGTGCCATTTCAGCAAACTGGTGACGTTTAGAATGAAGTTTTTCTTGGATATTAGGAGAAATAGCCACGTAGGGCTTCATTGCTTGTACACCGTGCGTGTGGGCAGGAGTCAAGAACTTTCATAAGCTCGAAATTCAGATAACTCGATTTTTTTGTCCATTGCTTTGAGGTTCGAGTTACCAAGAGTTTATGTGAACGTTTCAAATTAACTTAACCCTTAAAGATCCGGGTTATTTTGGCCAATCTCGCAGCCGAAGGGGGGGGTTCCACCCCCATAAGAACTCATCTATGCTACTCCCGATGTTTTTTTCAACTTGGCTTGCATGTACTCTTTTATCATAACAAATGCGAAGTACAAACTCAATCACACGTACGCGTTTTTTTTACGGTCATTTGAGGTTCATGGATACATGCCCTTCACCACGCGCGCATTGAGCACCGCAGTGTAAATCATAAAATGGCGATTGACTCCACAAGATAGAAAAGCTCCTGTGCCTTCCCCGTTCGCTCCAGTGAGCTTTTTGTCCGTCGTTCTTTTTACTGCGCATTGACTAGGCCTAAATGTAATTTATTTCACGAGATTAATTTTAGAAATGCATAGATTATGGTTATACCACGGATTACAACACAACCTCTTGAGCATGACATTGATCTCGCTATGCCATGTTGGTTTTCAGAGTATATGCACAACTGTAAATTGGAACTTTGTAAGCGTAACACACGATGTTTTGAAGATCTGAATCATTACTGCATTCAATGAGCAGTAACAAATATAGCAGTGCTTTCAATGAATATATTATTTATAAAATACTGAAAATGGGTCACGAAGGAGACATTCCCATAGGAACGTGCGCTTTTTTTCAAACTTTACCGCCCCATAATTCAGTATTCCCTAACCTGATCTTAACCAAGCTTTGCATGTTTTCCTTTCAGACCCTAATCTATCCTCTCTCAAAATGTGGACATTTTTCATTAGGGAGACATTGAATTGTCCCCCTAATGACCTATGTCTCCCTAATGTTGAAAACTTTACCACAAAATGTCTCCAAAGTGACCTATTTGGAATTATTATGGTTATTATAAAAGGCCTAAAATAATAATAGGCCTATATATTATTATGTATCAACTATATTTTGAAGTCAAGTTTGGTATGATATCCGCATCTTGGCTCTCCTCTTTACAACTCAAGTGTCAGGAATCACTGGCCAAAAACGAGGTTTTAACTTGGACATTTCAGTCTGAAAACGTATACACGGCATTACGTTCAAGAATTAAGGCCAGCACATGTATGTAGTGCACAGTGATTTCAATGTATAGAATATGCCCTAAGTACAATTTAAATTTAAGCACATTATTTATTATAATTAGCCAGAACCCTGGTGACAGAACACTACATCAACAATGCAGACCTTTTCATGTCTTCGAAAAACTTCCAACATAACCTTATCCGCCTAAATTGTACTGCAATCTCATTGGAATAGCAGTCTCAGTGGCACAGAAAACCTAACTGGATTTTAGCGTGTATCGGGTTTCCCTCACCAAATACGCTTTAACCCAAGCACAAACACATTGAGTTTCAATCAAAGTACAGTCGTTTCTATGAACAACAATGCCCGTAAGGAAGGACTAAAAATAAAAGGAAATAAACAATCATAAAGTCCGCTCTTGGTACCGCTCAGGGGCAGGCATAGGCCTATGGGTTATAAATATGTCCTCCAATATTGTGTAACAAGTGCCGTTTTCAAAAGAGTGCGAAATGAATAAAAAAACATAAAGCAGAAAACCTTGTGTTTTCCCAAAAGATGGACACGTTTTTTTGTTTTGTTTTTTGTTTTTGTTTTTTTGTTTTTGTTTTTTTGCTGCTTATAATGTATAGTTGGAGCCGAAAATAGTCCAGGGCCACGTTGATTACGTCAAGCAGCACTGTTTTCCTTTGTGTTTTTATGTCTTCCGATGCACAAAGAAGAAAAAGAAAACACAATGTAGCTCGATTTGTTTTGCCCGAACTAAAGGCAGCAATATTCAAGCAGTGCTGATGAGCTGCCTTTGTTCACGAGCGAAATGTTTTCGTCATCACTAAAAGCAGAAAGGCGCCTTCAGTGACAACAAAAAGTAAAAAAAAACAAATCGATACCGTATACATACGAATGCTGTTTTTTTTTTAATATGTCACCATACTAATAGTAAAACAGAGTGAAGACGGTGAAGACAGAACCGAGTCTTTCCATGAAATATTGACTGAAACATGCTGCAAGTACTTTGTGTCCGTGGAAATTGCAATTCACCAGGTTCTTATTCCAGCTAGAAAAAAAGCCCCAAATTAATGAAGTGCGTGGTCTACCATGCAGGCACTATCATAGGAGTATCCGACTGCTTGTATTATTCTCAATATGAAAACCTATGAGTGGGAGAAAAACACGAAATCACTCACCTTTCCGATACAGCTCTTTGTCGAAAAATAGAATGGAAGAAAAACTCCTATCAAATAGGTGATTAGGGTAACGGGGACATTTCAAAGTCATCTCTTCATTTGACACCAATTAAACGTTTTATTGCTACTTGTGTTAATAGCTTTAAGCATCTGTCTTAGTAAGGTTTGTGGTAAGCGGCTGAAAATAAAAGAACGGAAATAACCAAAATTGGTTGAACTCGTTACGGAGAAACTGTGTACCGCGGGATACTAACAATGCAATGGGGGAGTCTGGGATATCACCCTCCAAATATGATGTCATGAATGTTCCTTTTAACGTGTCCCTCGACCCCTAAATGTTTTGGGAGCTAGGTATTCTACCCAGGGCTTTGAAAGTATGCAGTAAACGTCACAGATTGTACGGCTATATCAGAGGCAACTTGGTACCAACAGAGCCTAAGGGTGGAAGGCCCTTACAAGGCTCGCCTGTGAGGATTTTACACAGGGTCACCCTGTAAAGTTTCATAATGTTGCAGAATAATGATTCCTGAGACCACCTCAAAAAGCAGTCGTGCTGGGTTTGTGCTCTTCGATTACGTGTAATGTTGTGGGAAGGTTACCTTGAGATGGGTAGAGTGACTTCATTTATGATATTTCATTTCTGGCGTTACCGTTCCTAGGGCTCCTTAATAATGCAAGTTCGCTTTCTTTTCACATTTGCAAGAAGGAGAATGTATAATATTGTAAAGATTTACCTATGCGCAGTCGGTGAGCCATATATTCAGTTGTCTATTCGGTATCAAACCTGCAGACTTGCAAGTTGCCTCTGGTCCGTACAGACTGTTAATGTTTGTAAACAATTCATCAACACACATCAATGTGCAAGTTAAAGTGATTAATCTGGGACTTTACGTCTAAAAACCTGTTAAAAAAGGTAAACTGCACTTTTAAGGTTGCATGCGTATCTTTAAGTAAACTGTACAGCCAACAAGAAAACAAAAAAAAGTTAAAACTCTATGCAAATGTCACTTATTTGGCCCAACATTTTTCAACAGTTCCTAAGATTTTGAAAAGTCAGGCTTCATTTTTGTTCACTTTTCTGGACTTCGATAAACCCTTAGTCACTGAATAATTCAACTGGCATGCAGCAAGCCAGAGAACAGTAATGGCGTTAGTCGTAAAGTAGGAATTACTTTTACCAATAAAACAAGCACATGGAGAAAAGCCAGTACCTTGGTCAAAAGTGCAATCAAGTAGTTGGGCAATACAGCACTACGAAGCCAATGTCACATCATTGAAAAAGATATTTGATATGTTAAAATAACGATAAATCATATTCAAACAATAGTTAAGGAACAAGAGGTCAATTGATGTAATTAATTATAAACGTGTAGTTCGTGTCAAAAATTAAAATGCTTTGATATGAATTTCTCTCCTGGTCCTGTTTACATAGTTTGAAACGTGTTTTCGCCTTCTGTCCATAGTAAAATTGAAAAAAAAATATTCCACAAATACCAAACCGATAAATCTTCTGGTTCAACATATATTGGAATTTCAAATATATAGGGGATGAGGTGTGAAGAGTATAAATTCCCAATAGGCATTCAAGTGTGGAACAGTGCCACTCAGAGTCCTTAGGGCATCTTTCAAAGCGTTTGGCTAGTTTCTTTGAAGCCGAAATATTTTAGTTGGAGCCCTGCTGTTTGGTGGTGTATTGGGTTGTTTGTATGTTTCTTTTTGACAACTGCAGGGGCCAACTATCCTTATATAAACATGTGGTGGAGATGCCTAGCATACCCTTCGACATAAAGAATTAAAAATTCAATTGTTGTTCTTGAACACAGAGCAAGTTGGTGGTGGAATTTTAATCAAAAACTAACTCCATCAATTTTATTTAAAACCTCCAAACGTGCCTACCTAGTGTACTTAGAGCTTGTTTTCGTGCATGTGCATTGATAAAAGCTAATTACCAGTAACGATCAACTTGTCTGTGCTATCCAAATGTCAAATTAACCTCTTGCTTACATCCACTACACCAAGGACACTGGAAAATTGCTGGAAAATATAGATATCTCATTCTATTGCATGAGAGCTCAAAGATATAAAGTAATGTATTCCAACGAAATGGTTCTCTGCCAAGTGTGCTTTGATAGGGCGGAGTGTAACCTGCAATTAACCAGGGACGTCTGTATAACCCTACGTCTCATTGGTTCGCCATCATGTTGGTACCACACCCAATGGTCTCATGTCCCATTCCCCGACAAGAAAAACGAGCAAAGCTTGGAATATGGTGACATCTCGATCAGAACTCCCCTTGTCACTAACATACAAATAATGATTTTTTTATTAGTGCCATGGCAAGATTAATTCTATGAGGTGACAGATTGTACAAGGCGGAGCCCAATGGAGAAAAAAAATTATCCTTCACTAAACATTTATTCTTTGTTTTAATAGTATACCTGCTTAAATCCCCATCATCTGATTGGAGGGTGGTTGATAATATGTCACTGAATTTTCGTTCTACTCTACGCTACCCTTTGTATAGAACTTCTAATCATTTGACTGGTTTGCACCCCCATTGCATCCACAAGATATATCTCATTCCAAAGTAGTTTTTTTTAATACGAAAATGCAGGGACTGGAACCACTCTAACTTTATAATGAATTACCAGTGGCTAATGATTCAGACAAGAGTCTGTTTTGCAAACCAGTGTATGTAATTTGCAAAGACTTTTTCCCTGAACAAAAAAAAAGGTACCGTAAAATACAAGGGACAGTTCTGTGACATCATATCAACAATTCACCAATCAGTCCACCGGGATTTATTGAAAGTATTAAAGAATCTTTACCTAATCATCAGTAGATCGACTTGAATCAGTTTATCCAAGCTACAAAAGGTTATAGAAATGAGGCTCATGGGACGAATGGCTGGTGGACGTGAAATGAATGGGACGCAAGATTAAAGGCGTGAGACAAATAGGACGTAGAACTTCATAAGAGGTAACCAGCTTAGCCCTTCAGTTTGGTCTTCATTTAACAAATATGATGGACTACCCACGTCGCAGGAAAATCCCAGTTAGAGAAGCCGACGAACAGAGGAGCCTGGGGCGTCGAATCAGTCCACTGTAAGAACGGCGCCTCATCATGTTTGCCCAGAGTGAAGGTGCCTTGGTTGTACCTCAGCCAAAAGCGTCGCATCTCATACTTACTCAACACATCTGGAGTTTGCACAGAAATCAACTGGGAGCATTGCGTGCATCGGCGCATCCTGGTGGCCTGATCAAATACTGTAATTGAAGAAGACAAGAAAACATTAGAAAATAAGCCTCTTTCCATATATTTCTTTCAGTGAAAAACAACTTATTCAGAACTAACTTGGTGGAATTCTATTGTTCATGCTATCAACAGGTATTGAACCCCAAGGTAGAATGCAATCACTGACCGCTGCTTACATATTGATGGTGTTCTGTACGACCAAAAATAGAGATAACGCCATCGCCCCCCATACCTGTGCCCCTATTTGAAATCTGTCAATATCTCCCTTGAAATGTTCCTGCAGCTAATTTTCTGTGGTGTCCCCCTTAAACAAATGTGTTCAACAGGGTGCCCCCGTCAAAACAGTTGTTTTGTTCGACCTAAGAATTTAAGGAATCAAAGTGAACTTCATTCTGCATTGCGGTGCATTTTATTTCACTGAAATTGATTTCACTAACAAAATGTTTGAGCAAATTCAATTAAATTGAATAATTAGTAGGGAGTACCATCTTTTGTCATACATATTAAACATTTTCTAGAAAATCATATAATTTTATTTGAATCTCTAAAACGGAAAAATTTCCGTTATGGCAATTTTGGTAATTTTGCACAAGCACAGAATGTTCTGCATGTTTCTTTGTACTGATGCTGTTCTGCAGAAAATCCAAATTTATGATATCGGTTTTCGAACTGGAGGAAAACCTCTAACCAACCTACTGCCTTTGTCTTGGTGAACTTCGGGCGGAATTGGTCCGGTTAAAAGACGAACAATGTAAAGCAATACGGCGGCCGTAGGGTAAATCGTGCTTCATTGTCCCTCACATGCAGCATACACATACATGAACTAGTTTAATGCCGGCAAAGCACTAAAACCCCTTACCCAAGGTCATACCAGTACCACGCCGTAAAAATGAGCGTCTTAAGCTGAGGGAATAATCAAGGAATAATGTACCCTATGGGCTACCGTCACTCCCATATTACGGCAAACCTCGCTCTTATGTTCTTGCAATCCAGTACATGCGTGATAAGTCAAATGTTAGTCATATTTGACCAAAGTCAGTCACTGCAGTGTTGACTAAATGTTAGTCCCACTCTTAATTTGATGATGAACCGACTTACCTACACGTATATCAGTCTATTTGAGCACAAAATGACTAACTTTTGTTGCAACTTTATAACAACCGTGCTTTAAAAGCTGAAAAAAGTGGACAAGAATATATGAAGTCTTAATTTGTGATTAAACACTTTCGGTATACTTGGTCAAGTACATGTTAACTCCTTTTTTAGAGCAATTACACGATAAGGACGGGAACAGTACACCGTGATTCCGAAGAAGGCCAGACACGTCCGTTGTCTTCTAAGATTTGGTCGATAATGCTTTGTTTTCCTTACTTATTTGGTACTTGGTGCCTGCTTTGGTGCCATCCCCAGAAAAGATGATCATCGCACGAGCCCGGCACAGCACAGAGGCGTCTAGCACCAACTCCCCATTAAAGGCCGGAAATGGGAACATGTGCTCGTGGAATGAAGTCAGGTGGTAGGAACTGTTACACACTGCGAGAGAAAAGAACCAATCGATGCGGCATTTTACATGCCAACACAAATTCTGCCATCTGAGCCTCTGAGCCGAACACCAACCACAAGGTTTGTCTGAGTATAAGAACATTGGGGCTCCCTTATCTTGAACAAAGGTAAATTTTAAACTATATTATATATAATTGAATTAATTTACCAGTTTTGCAATGGTAAAAGATAAACCGGGATCCCATTGAAAATGGAATCGAAAGGGGCGTGCAGCATTATTATGATTTCCTGTCTTTAACTCTCGTACTTGTATAAAGTGCACTCTCTTTTGTCCCTGCACGACTTTTAGTCGGTAGCGACGCTCGTGAACCAGCGAAAAGTGGTACTCAGAAAATTGCACCATCTCTTGGTTGCGCTTGGGGCCCCTTTGCTGCCATTGCTTACAAGAATTGCAAACAAACAGCTCATTTAGTATGTCTTTGTGAAATTAAAATGAACCGAATTAATCCAAACTAATTTTCAGTGAGTCTCGTTTGTATTTTGCAGATTGCCTCCCAAATACAGAACTCGACAGCTAACACAGGACCCTATTGAGCAGTGTGCTCAATTCATAACGTGGGCGGGGGTATCAAGAGGAGGCGAGGCACTAGGTGCACTTAGCTTGAAACTGGGCCTTGGGTTTTTGCCCACGACTGACTAGCTCAACTTTTCATTTAGACCCTAATGTATCATCAAAGCGATGGTGATGCTTGCATGAAGGAACGATGTCCATAACTGTAAGTGCAAGTGACCGGTGTATTGAGCAGCAATGTTGAGCTAGAATACGCTTTAGAACAACTCGCTCAATCTGAACAACAGTGGGAGCAACTTCTCGTCCAGTATCTCAGTCCCCTAAACGAACACATGAGAAAGCTGTTGAAACCGACCTCTGCAAATGTACAAACTTCACGCGTGTACAACGAAGCGAGCCTGAGACACGAACTACAACGAAGGCCAAAGCGCCAGAGAACTGTTGTGGATTTGAAGAGGAACCCTAGTAGGGGATGTCTTGTGTATAGGTTTGGATAGTATGCATTAAGAACTTACAGCGACATATCGATACCTACAACGATGATTCAAAGGGTGGAGCACCAAGAACATGCATCGGATGGACGTGTTCTACCTTCACTGTTACAGGTTTTAATTAGTACGCGTTAACGGTGGTCGACGTGGCCAGTCGATACAATAAGCAGAGTCTGTGACCTAAAAATAGCGTTCAAAGGCGAGGTTAGAAAGATTATAGGGCGATCGCTTTAGAGCTATCCTCGCGTGTTCGAGTAGACAATGGTGCAGAGTTTAAAGGCGAATTTAATTATTCAAGGTGTCACCATTCAACAATTCAAGAGGACGCTAGCTGGAAGATTGTTTCACAGAGTGGACAAATGTACGTGATTAAAGTAGAATCCATCGTTGTGCAAATACTGCTCTCAGACACCGTCTGCACATTTTTTTATTCTGAATGTTAATTATGGCTTGCCTTTTTGGGGGGTTGTGATGGCAAATCGATGCACGAACTACCACGCAAAGATTGACATCTGCTCATGTTGTTGCAAAGCGCCGTTATTATATAAACCACCCACCTTATGCTTGTGATATTCATAAATCTGTTTTCCAGTATCTTTTGTTGTTGTTTTCTTTACATTTGTTTGATACTTGCGTTTGTCTGCTTGCTTGCTTGTGTGTTCTTTTAAAAGGATACATTTTGTATGACGTAAATTCGTTCAAGACCCATTAGTCTCCAGCTATATACGGTTCCCAACTCTGACGCTACTTTAGCTTCGGTGATTTGCTCTTGAGTACTGGGAAATCGCACAGGGTCTGTGTTATGTAACAATAGCATGACTCCCAAATTTCTAAATTTCCCTTTAAGCCTTCTACTTTTGGAATTAAAGTCGGCTTCTCTAAATAATGCTGATATGGTGTACGCTTTAATTGCCTCGATCTCAATAACTGGCCCTTTTGCTAATTGCCACTAATCTTCATTTCCACTTCTGCACAATTCTCTGTAACTCGAAACAATTATCAGTCACCAAACTTTTATCGCAGAATTTGGCTCTTCGACAATCGACAAATAAAATATCAAATTCTCACATAATTTAGGCGTGCATCGATTGCAAAAGGACTTGTGTAAACTGTGTTTACAAAATACACTCGTTACAGTTTACTTTTCTCACACCATGTGGCTGAGGAGGTTAACAGTGCATACATTTGTATGTACCTCAACTGTCTTCACACGTTGACAGGCATCTGCGCCTCGCTAAACATGACGCGTAGCAAGAGCTGATCAATGTGTCTTTCCGACCTTAACAACGGTTTTGTCTGTGATAGCCGCTACACATTTGTTCGCCCCTGCTGTCACTCTGTTATTCATTTGTCATCATTTTTCTTCCTATGGCGCCGCAAAGTCTTTTGTTTGTTTTAAGGGGATTACTTAAACCTCTTTTTTGTTATTTGTGGACAGAGAGAAGACATATGCAGCAATGTATGAGACGAAGAGAACCCCCTCCCTGCTGTGTTGGTCATTGTCTTGCAGGAATCTGGGGAATTCCTTTCATACATCTTGGGGGGGGATGCGTTAAGCATCAATAGTCTGGAATGTGTATAGGGATTGGACATGTTGGCGGGGGGGTACCCCTTGGTCTTATTTCTTGCTGGGTATAAGAGAAGAAGGAATCAGGGAAAGAAAGATTGTATTCATAGGTTCCATGTCTAGAGTTTAATGATGGTCCAGGAACGGTACAGGAGAAAGAGACGGAAAAACTCTTAGGGTCTGTATCTCTATCCACAGCATAGAGATGGTCGGCAGACGGCCAGTCCCATCATTAACCTGATTTGGGCCCGTGGACATGGCATTTCTAAAGAAGGAAACGTGACATTGGTTTGTTCGAAAGGCACGCTGTACACACCTTAAGAGAAAATTTGTATCGTTTCGACTTCAAGGGTATGGGATTTCCCACACAAGTGAACAAATGCATGCAGTTTTGTAGTCTGAGTGGACTCCTACCTGGTTGCTGTAAGGAATACTTTTTTTTCCAAAGGACACAGCGGGAAAGACTTGAGGTGGCCACCTCCTGTCGTACGTGTAATTGTTGGATAGAGTGGCAGAAAATGTTATTCCTACCTTGTCTGCTGTAGTAGGTGCAGTTGTCAGTTCCACGTCCAGACAGTGACATGAAGGAGGCATCCTCCAGCACGCATTGCCCTGTGGAAGGCCCGTAGCAGAACTGCTGGCACAGATCTTCCTGCAGACACGCGGCCGCGCAATGCCGCCTGGTTTCCTGGACCGAGGAGGCGATAGCACGGTGTTGTACCGTCTTGTACTTGCCGTGCTCCGCCAGGACAAAATAACTGGATGATGTTGCTGTCCCTGTTGCTAATGCTATAAAGATCTCGCTGCAGCACACCACGGCGATAATAATCACATACACGTATTTCATATCGGAGGCAATCCTATTGGTATCTAGTATCTACAACGCAACTGAGGGTTTCTTATCGTTTTCAAAAGCAAATGTATTTTCCAAATTTCACATACACGTCTAGTTTTTGACCACACCAAATAGAGTTGATTGCAGGAAATGATTGTATCATAACAGCACTCCCGGAAGAATTGGCGGGGGCCCTCAGCACTGCGTTGGATAAGCTTTCATTCACAAGAAGAAGCTGCAGATACAGCACGCAATATCTTCATGCATTGAACATGACGTGCATATCGCCCACTGACCAATGGAATCCCGTTGGGGGGGTGTCGACATTATAATAACTAGTTTCGCTGGCGATGCGCAGATATATCAAGGCGTATAGCTTAAGCCGCTTTCACGTACTGCTAATAGGCGCGGATCCAGGAATTTTTTTTTCAGGGAGGGGGTCGGGCCTTAGACTTTTTTATGTATCTTTTTTTCTGGACATGCGGTAACGATGATGGAACATAATACATGACATACCTTGTTTACAATGGTATGGACGCATTTACTGTAGTAAAGTTTTACCCTTTTTTTGTTTAAAAGCAGGGGGCGTTCTACCCCCCCCCCGCAAATCTGTTCCTGGCTAACATTGCGTTGCAGCCGAATAAGGGAGAAATTTGCAAAAATTCGTAGAACTGTAGATGCAGTCATTAGAAAAGGTCCATGATTTTAGTCTTTGGAGTTGTAGATCAAACGGCCGGGGGCCGTTGGGCTCAAAGGTGGCTTTACGCCATTGCTCATCGTTTGAAGCACGAGACATACCTACGGTTTGACCCAAGCCGCTGCAGCATAGGCGACTGGAGCCACGTACAGCATAAACCCCAACAGTCCCAAATCCTCCCATTTCAATATGATTTTACATACACCCTTGGGAGTTAGGGTTAATGACTGCAGCAGTTGCTCCTTCGATCGCCGCCATCAGGCGGTAGACAGCGTCTGATGGCGAGAAGATGTAATGAAAACGACACCCGTGACTGTTCATTTACGACAGCGTACATCTCTGGCGATAAAAGTGGCATCTTCAGAAATTAATATCCAATGCCTACAACACTGAAATCACGTATTTGGGGTTTATTTAACCGGACATAAAAATCAATACAATTATAAATCAGAAAAAAAGAGTCGTCTACTTATTCCCTATTCAACAGCTGCATTAACTGTTAAAAAGATTGCTGGATCTACTAATTTTATAACACTTTCTTCCGTAATAATTCACGTGGCTGTCCCAGAGTTGAAGGAAACAGAAGGGTTAACTTAGAGCCTGAATGCCATTATCGAAAGTATCAAGCCTTTTAGTTATTCATTGACGTTATAAATGATGCCGTGCAAGCATATTGAAGACCAGAAAGGCCAGTGTTTGCCCTCTCATGTGCTAGATTTGCTTTGGGGCCGTCCATAGAGTACGAAATTCCACAAGATTTTTAGAACCCCCCTCCCCCGTTGAGTGCCGTGGCCTTGTGGTTTAAGAGCATTATAATAATAATAATAATTCTCCCAAGCGCTGTACAACAAAATATAAACCAATAAATAAAACCTCCACCTCCCCCAAGATGCTGCTGGTCTTTGTGTCATGATTAATGTCGCAGTAATACTAAAAATTGGCGCTGGCACAGGAGGATAAATAATGGGGTGGACGGTTGAGGATACCGTTTGAATTTCTACGCACAAAAGCTTATTCTGGTATGAGAAAGTGTATTGACAGGATGGAGATTCAATAAAGGTAAATTTATGGCGTGTACTGGCTGGACCCCCACATGGTGCGTGCAACGGCACAACCCCCCCCCATGGTGCGTGCAACGGCAGAACCACCCCCCCCCCATTGTGTACGTAGTCATGCATGCAGTCATGCACATGCATCATAATACAGGGAAAAAGTCACACCACACCGCTCGAGAATTCGAAGTGCCCACAGGTGTATGGTTTCGCGGAAGACTTTGGAATCAGGATGGATTCTAATCTGAAGATGTCGCCGGCCTTTCATAAGGTTGTGGCTCCCCGCCCCTGCCTTGTCCAAGGACACTGGTGTTCTCTGCTTTCTTTGAGCTTATTAGAAAGCCTTTTCAACCAGGCAAAACACACGGGTGCGTTAAGACTCCATTATACACACACGGTAACGGTGAGCGGTAATACCACACCATATTTACGTCTATGCAGAAGTGGAATCATGCTCAGTATTTGTGTAAACGGTTTCCCACAACACAGCGACGTCTAGCCAGCAGAGAATGAGGCTATACAAAATCACTAATTTTCTATTGAATGCGCAGTATCTTGGGCACCGAGTTTGTCCACCGAGAAAATGTAAACAACCTCATAAATACTAACAAGTCTTCAATATTGTGACAGCACGGAACTTGTTACCATGCGCGTGTGAAATGGCCGCTACGACCGTCACACCAAACGCTCTCGGCTTTCTACAAAAATTCTGCGGTGGATATTCACAGTCGCCAACGCTCTAAAAAGTAAAAAAAAACAAATACTCTTTTACATAATCACAGCAAGCTATTAGATCTTAGCAATCTACTACCATAACCATGCTTATTTCTTCTTCAAAATTATCTTTTAAAACTCAAACCCGTCTCTAGATATTATTTTTCTAAACAGGAAAATTAGAATGAAACAAACTGTCGTTTTAAAAACAGAATTTTAAAATGTTTGGTAACGCTCAAGAGTCAATTATCACCTAAACTAAACACCTAAGTGTTTACTAGAAAAGGCCAAAGTCGTTTTAAACGAATAAGATATATATTATATTAACTTATTAAGACGTAGGGCATACCTTTCCTCCAACAGACATGGAATAACTAATTAATCATTTTACACAATCCAATAACTGTTGGTTTCGCTCGTTCCTTATTAGCTCGCACAGGTGTCCTGGTTCGTCACACACCACATCCTAGTAGGTCTACAGGCGTGACATGGCGCACATTGAGCCGTTTTCGGTTTGAGCCTTTTCGTCGAGACCCAAGCCAACGTGTTTTCGGAGTCGCCGCTTTAGATTTTCCCAAGCCTTGTTGTCTAGTTCGACACCGATGTCATCTGCATCGTCCCGTTGTTTGCAGTTGGGCATCTCTGCAGTAACAATGCTTTGTGGTAACTTCAAGTACGCCCTCTGACAACCACGCGATTCCTAGCAAAAGGCACGGAATAAAGAGAGAAACAGTTGGAATTTTCTGTATGTGAAAATGTGCTCGTGTGCATTTGAGAGTGACTTGAAATTGCACGAACTTTATGAAACCTGGCTGCAGCCTCTACCATATTCTCGTGTGTAATTGCCAAGCTGCAGCCAAATATGGGCACGACCTTTATTACATTCATTTTATTCCTAGTAAATGTCACTTTGCATGAATCACCTTCTTTGGTGCAACTCCTTCTGTCATTTCATTGTCTATGTGCATTACTTTCATGGATAACAGACTCTATGGTTTAATTGCTGTGATGATGAGTCAGTAACCTGACTCAAGCTCGACTCGAGTCAAATTTCAGCGACTTGACTCGACTAGAGTCCTAACAGGTAATGACTTGTCTCGAGTAACTGCGAGCAAATGACTCTCTCCTTAAGTCCCTCAAGAAAATACCCAACTCTAGGGAATAGAAATAAGACTCCTTTTCTAAAGAAATGCAATTACTGGAAGTGATTGTTTATAGTGTTCATGTTGTATGCCATCATCAAAAGGTAAGACTTGGTGTGACCACACGTAGAAGCCACGAAATACACGGTGTGAAAAAGTGACTTTCGAGTCAAAATTTTTATCTCTTGATTTACTTATCATATTAAGTTTAAATGATGGTTCGAACAACTCGAGTTTAATGCTTGGCTCGACTTTTCCAGTGCTCAAAAACCAACAAGCCACTTTTTTTAAATTCAAAATAATAAAATTACCACTCAGTTTAAGTGCAAGGCGGTGAGTAAACATGTTGTTCTTATTTCCAGTGGCAAAAAAATCTCAAAATGGTTATTTAATTTATTTCTTCCCAAAGAACCATAGATGGACAACGTGGAGTGGTTTGCCGTTCATTAGTTGAAATTAAAAAGCGCAAGTTGTTGACTTCACGTGGCGTGGAAATAACAACATTATGATGTTGCCCATATTCTTCAATATTTCGACAAAGTATAACCTTTCAGTTTTAAAATGATATCAAAGGCCTCCCCTTTTCCCAACCAAAAAATAAGACGTTTATACCTTGGAGCATTTCCTGCAAGAATATCCGAACTGAACAGAAATGGTTGAAGTGATCTGTCATTTCTATTGCTAATGATATTCGTGTACTCTGAAGAATAAACATGTCATTTAAAGGCATATAGAATGCGCGAAGGCATGTCATTTTAAAACATATAGTTAAACCTAAAGTTCCACCAATGTCCTAATGTAGTACATTTATACCATCCAACATCACAACGCACCATAACCTCTGCTGACTAATGAAGAGTATTTACGTTTTCCATTTGATGGTTCTTCCTAAAGTTGTACGATAGGCGTGAAATCTCAAAAATAAGACCTTCTTCCAGCATATCTCGGCTAACCCACAGCATAAAATATCTTAAACCCTTGAACAGACATATGGGCTTCTATTTTTCAAAAGGAGGGGGATATTTCGAGCTTTTGTTCTAAAGTGTTGAAGATATTTGTTAAATATCTATAATTAACGTGGTTTGTCGATTTCTGTATTGAGCAGGCTTCTGTCGTGCTTGGTGGATGGGGTGCGTCACGAGGCTCTGTAAACCTCCATTCGATCATTGGACTAGATAGAATTATGTTAATCAAATCGACGCATCACATCACTTGAAAACCATACTCTATACAGGCTTTGCATGGTAGCCATGTTGCAGAGCAGTTCTTTTATTCCGAAGGGAAACCTTCTTTGTACATACCCTGTGGAACAAAAGCTCTAGTCTGCAAGTTGTCAAACATGCAAACCCTCTTTAGGCAATAAAACAAAAATTTTTAAGGCATCAATAACAGTGTTTAGAGCGAGGTTTGGAAGGGTCTTTTTTTCCCTCACCCTGTGTAAGAGAATGCTGTCCTTGTTCAGCTGGATTCCTGCAATACCGTTTGCATGTAACCAGGACAGGGCCTCGCTGATGTCTTCCTCAACTCTCTTAAGTTCCTCCTCAGTGAAGTTCCACACCGTCAGATTGGTTCCGAGGTTTTGGTCGGAGCCGGGGATGCTGCTGTTGGCGGAATCTTTGGTGTTTGAGAATGCCTTTAGAGCCTCTGCATTAAGCAAGGGCACGATACGATGTTGCTCAAGCTGAGAGAATACAGTTGCCAGTACTGGTTTCAGCTCTGGAAAGAACGGGGCCAAGTTTAAACATGATTGCAATCTCTACTCCGCCCTTTTCCAAACTACTTCTAATCTAATTCAACAGCACATATGCACAAATACAGAACTCCAATCAGAACTTTGATCGTTAGCAGTTTTTACGCTTTCACAGTCCTTCTGGTATAGGGCTAGCAACTGTTGTAGGCATGGGATGAGCTATTCCATGGCTGTAGTTGCTCGTGCGTACCCTAAAATTCCAGAATTCCAACTAAGCAACGAATGATTTGGCCTCTAAGTAAAGAATCATTAACCGTGTCAAAGACATGGAAAGGGGTGTTTTCACAACAAAAGTGAAAGATTAAGTTTGTGCAACAAATTCAGACGCATTTTCAGCATAAAGTGAGGTGAAGCTTCTACCTGTATGTCCGTACCGAAATCAATGGAGTGACTATCACTGAAGCTCTCCATTCCAACAGTTGAGGACCGGGTTCTGCTCATCGGAGAGGCTGAGGCTGAGTGGTCCTGATTTTGAATCAAGGAGCTCAATCTCTTACTCTTCTTGTTCTTCCTCTTGCCCCAAAAGTTGGACAGCGTGTACAGGTAGGGGTTGATGGAGGAGTTCAGCGGCAGAATGAAGATGGCGATCCAGGCGTAGACGCCCTGGGGGACGTCCACCTTGGCGAAGCTGGCCAGCAGGGCCAGGAGGATGATGGGCATCCAGCAGGCGAAGTCGGTGCCCACGATCAGCGACATCTTGGCGGCCACTCGGACCTCGGCCGCCCGCTGGGCGCTCTGGCCTTGGGCCTCGCGCGAGGAGCGCTTGACGGCCACGAAGATGGCAGCATAGCAGACGAACATGCCCAGGAAGCAGATCAAATTGACCGACAGGAGGAAGAACATGTACCTCCAGCCATTGGGGAGAACAGGAACAAGTGGTAAAGCCAAGCAAACACTGGAACTGCCATAGTAAGCATCTGAGAATCGGTCCTGCATCAATTATACACACATGCAAGCAGTTACTGCATTGTTAATAAAGTGATGCAAAGCTTAATGGCAGATGAGGCTCCTACGCTCTTTGGGGGAAAAATGCTTATTGTGTACATTTCAATTATAAAACCTTCAGGAGTTTCGTATTTTGCGTTTTCACAGAAGTATTTTTTAAAACAAATATGGACTGACGTGATAAGCCACTCTTGCACGTCCAAGTCCATCTGAATGGACAGGCACTATAAACCAAATCATGCCGATCCACATATGGAATATATCGATAGAGTAGTTCCGTCGTAGGACGTTGCTGTACTCGAATCTCACCAGATAGACCCTTGTGTCCTTTTTTATTCCAAACAATTCTTTATACTCCCGGGTCGGATTGGGGCGGAATAAGTATCTCGTATATGTTCTGTAGACCCCGAACACCAGTCCCCCGTAGGTCTACCGCCTGGATACAAACATATATTGTATTTCATTATGTACAAATATGAACTGGTGGACTGGTGCGCGGCTATGCGCCGCGATGGACTGTGAGTCACCAGAAGAGGCAATCGCTTCTCGAGGTCAAAGGCCTCTAACTGAAATGTAAAATAAAAAAATGAAGTTTTCAGGGCAGCGATGTGACTAATTATTTTAACTCAATCAATACTTTTACTCAATAGAACGAGCGATTCAACAGTTTAAGGAACGTTGCTAGTTTTCATAGATTTAGTTGTTTGGTTTCTGTTAACAGTTCCGATCCTCTTGGGATGCTTTGACAAGTCAAATATTTCAATGCACGTCCAGTGAAATGTCTGGACGTACACACAGTGTCTTGTCGCTGGCAAGGTCGACCCGACAAAAATTTCATGTGCAATAGCCCGGTCTGCAAAAGTGAACAGTGAAACCCATGTGACCATATTTCAGCCAACCGGCGATGAAGAGCTTACAAAAAGGTTTTGATATGACATTTACAATTACCGATACTACTGCTGGAAGCAGGCTCATCAGTAGCCCTACAGCCCAAGATGCAACGACCAGAATACGGGTCCGATTCAAAGTCATGTGAAGGCCGAACCGGAAGGGAAAGACGATCTTGAGAAACCTGTCCAAGCTCAGCAGCATGACGATGAACACGGACACTTCACTAGACAGGACAGCGAGTAGGCCAGTGACTGTGCAGGCCAGACTGGCCCGCCAGCCCTCGGACCTAAACGCATAGACACCCCGGAAGTGCATGTCCGCCCCCGCAATGGTGAGCATGTACACGCCCATCAAGAAGTCGGAGGCGGCCAGGTTGGTGATCAAGAAGTCCTGCACCGTTGCAATTTGCCGCTGCGTCCGACCGCGGCCAGGCCGGTAGCGCCTCACCATCCTTAGGCCAAAGACCAGCACGTTCCCGACCAGGGCACTGAGTCCCAGAAGCCAGATGAAGAACCTCAGAGCGCCATTGCTGATCAGATCGTCACAGTCGGAAAACTGGTCTCGGGGAGCGAAGCATTCTTGAACGTCTCTAACGCAGCAATAGTGGTATTTGCTGGCAATTCTATTACAAAGGGATACATTTTTAGTGTTCATTTATCAACGAAAGTCCTGGATTAGACCATCTTTAGTTTAATATCACCTCATTCAACTTTTGTTCTCAAGATGCCGCTGCAAAGTCTCTTAGCCTTACACGTACGGTCATGTATATGCCCCAGTCGTTAATTCATTTCAGAGCGGCAATAGAGTCTGCCACAAGTCAGTTTTTAGTTGCTTCACAACCTTTTTCAATGAAGAGCAGATAAGGCAGTCCTTCGTCAGTGTTTGTCTCTCAGGTCCTAGCTGATATGTGACTTAACTTGAAGTATCAAATGACTTCTGACTAACTTGATTCCAACTCCAACACACTTGACATTCCCTTTGAAGCCGTTCAAAGGCATTATCCAGAACATCTTTACATTTGCGCTCAAAGGCTAGTGCTTACATGCAAAAAAAATTAGAAAAACAAACTTTCCTTTAATCTTTGTAAGTCTCTGTAATCTTCGAAGAAGCGCGGCAAATACTGACAAGTGCAAAAAAAATAATTACAAAAAAACCTTCAACGCTTCCATTGTTTGAAATATATGAGTTGGTCAATGTTTGTATTGTTACGTTATCTTACATGGTTTGGAGGCTTTCTAGGTCTTCAAACCCTTCTTTTGATTTGAACAGGCCGACCCCTTCAACCTCTCTGCAAAAGTGAAAGAGTGAAAATTAAAATCCAGGTGGAGCATATCTTTCAAATGCTTTTTTTTCGACAGTTGCAACACACAATTGTTGTCTACTATGTTCTACGTGCAACTGTCGATACCTATTTTCCGTTTCTCTTGTCTGGCTCTATAAATGCCAACTTGCTTATCAAGTTATTTCATTACAAAGTGACCAAAACCAAGAATGCGCCGTATTCTGTATGTAAAATGGTAGCACTTCCCTCTTGCCAAAGTCAGTAAGGGTTAAATTGAAAAATTTCAGCCACTTCAAATAAGGAAATATAGTGAGGAACTCACAAGGTTTTAAGATTGTTGAGACCTGCAAATGCTCCAATTTCGATGGTGCTTAGTGGATTGAACGAAAGCGTCCTGTAACGAAAGAGCCATACTTAAGCCACGTATAGAGAGCATGTGTGAAAAACACCCCCCCAAAAAAAACACAAAAAGAGACGTTGTGCCTCAGAAATGGTAGAAAAAGCACAACGTTTAAACGGAAAAGCTGAGAACCACACCAGTTTGCTGTTTCAAACTAAAATAGTGCATACTTAAAGTTCAATGTTGCTAGAAAATACAGAAATTGTATCATTGGTCCTTCAGTCTAGGGTAACATCGCAGACATAAAACATATATTTAAATCAACGCTCAGCCAATCAAGGCACCCGATCCGACTACCCACCGCTACTTACAAGCTACGCCTGTGCATCAAAATAGTCATGCTCTAACTGTGATGCTAATATATTATCGTATGATGCAATGTAGTAGGCAAACCTATAAGTGAGGCTTGTTGGAACCTTCTGCTTGCAAGGTTTAGTGACGCTTACTAGCCTCACTTAAGTTGGTCTACTGTATTGCATCATACGAAAATATTTTAGCATCACAGCTCTTACAGGCTAATTTGCTACACTGGCCTCACTTATAAGTAGCGGTGGGCAGATGGGTCGGGAGTTCAGGATGCAAGGTGGAGCTGAAGTCATTAAGTGACAAAATCCATTCACAATGTTCAATTTGTAAAGACGCTGTTACAAAGTTTAAGTACTCTTTTACCGAAATGTGATTCGAAACAATTTTAATAATATGGCTGTCCTTTCTTTTCAATTTCGAATCAATCAGAGAATCTGAAAATCTTAATCAGAAAACAATAGCTATAAATAGATATCAAAAAATTATCAGCAGAGGATTCAAAATTACAGTTACATGCTTTCAGTCCAAGCGTATTTGTAAATCCTCGATTGCAACAGTACAGTTATATTTTAGACATGCAGTTATGTGATCACACACAGAGGAAGCCAGTTTTACAAATATTTCATTGTCAATGCGCCTTGAACAGAGGGGCCCTCATTGGTTGGAAAGAGCCATATTGGTCGGGAGTGTTCATTTTGTTGGTTGCAGTGCGACCGTGACGCGTGCATTTCTTAGCCGTTCATGAACCAGCGAAGTTTAGTTCTGACCAAAGGAGTCTCCGTTGCTAAGAAAATTACGTCCTCTATTGGTCCACCTCGAGGTTCATACATTCATTTTTTTTTAATTTGCCAACTTACAAATGCTCCAATGAGGAAAGTCCCTCAAAGGTTCCACTTTGTAAGACATCAATGTTGTTAAAGGAAAGGTTGCTGTAAAATACAAAAAGAGGGGAAAAAAGGAAGACAGAGACTTGGGAATGAAAATGGTATCAAGAGCAAACAATTACAAAAATCAGTAAACAATATGTTTAAATATTCGTAGCCGCATGCGGAAAAAGGATTGGCATCACAGCATCCATCAACTTAGACTGTGACTTCTTCCCTGGTTACTGCATATAGCCTGCACAGCTTTCCTTTGATCTGCAAACACCTCTGATACCTTAACCTAACTCCACGTGTAATAAGGGATGCATCAGAAATGTAAGCTTCATGCTTTTGTTAATGCAAAATTTTATCTTGTGTCATTAAGGCCGTTTTCCAATACTCAACTTCGTCTCCCTCTCAGGCTTTGTCCTCGAAACCAATCCCTATTGTGGGCCTGAGGCGTTTAAATAAAATTGAACGTTTCGTGGCACGATTAGACTAATTATTGCGCTCCCAGCTTTACAGTCAGGAATTTAAAACCAACTGAAGCCTGAGACGGAGCAGAAGTTTAGTATTGGAAAACGGCCTTAGTCTTTCCGCTTTCGTAAGCAGTCTAAAAATGCCACACATTATGGTACTCACAGATGTCGCAGGTTGCGACTTTCGTTGAACATGCCGGGAACCAATTCATCAATACTGTTCTTAGTCAACTCCCTGCAAAGGATCAGGGTTAAAAGTAAAAAAGTGTGAAAGTTCTTAGTATAGTTTGGAAGCGCCTCAAACGATAACAATCATAATGCAAAACCAATATTAGAATGTTTAAAACATAAAACAGATGTCTTACTTAGATCACCTGTCAAATCTGTCATATGATTTTGCAAGTTCAAACCACATGTTCTAATGTCCAAAGGTGATGAATTAATGCAAATTACTTGCCTAACAAATATTTTTTTTTGAAATTTGAAATCAATTTCAGTGATATTTCCATGTAAATAGGCAAAGGAAAGATGTAACACAAAACTGCCACACCTTTTGACCCCACACTGTGGAAAGATTGGTCAACTTTGGGTTGATATTTTGCCCAATGTTAGTAAAAAATGTGAACTTAGCAACCTTGGGCAAATTCTTCCAGATGTTGGTCAATGTTTGACCGGTAGTAAATTTAACCAAGGTTGGGTGGATAACAAATGCTCAGCACTATTACAGTGGATATTTAGAGAATAATCAAGTTACTTTATTAATTAACAGCCACAGTAAATCAATTTAAATCTTCCCAAGTATTCAGAGTATTGACGAGTTCCTACAAATCTCAACCCCCGTAATAGGTCGTATATCCCAGCAGATAAACCACATACTTTCAGAAGTGAGGAGATTTATTATAAAACTAAACATTTCAAAGTTTGAAACAAATTCAGAAAGAGGCAATTTATTTTGGCTCTCAACTTCAGCGACAATGATGCTTACAGTTCTACCAAGAAGGGGAATTCTTTCAGATCAAGGTGCAATGAGTTCATCACGGTCCACGGACCAGAAATTTGGTCTCTTTTTGCTCGTACAAAACCATCTACTTCTGGAGCACCGGTCGAACCAACAGCTGTCAAAAACCTACAGCGATCACACAAAATTATTTGAATCTCACATGCAGAATGTCAAATTAGCAATACGAATCAGTTGTGTTATGATGTCCCGCAAGATTTATTGAACAAACGTTTGTATACTGATATCCGATGATGCAGTTGCATGAATTATGTGTAAACATGAATCTGTAAGTTAAGTTGGTATAGTTTCTATATCAAAGTAAAGAGACAAAGAGAGCACTGCTAAACAGTCTTGAGACTGTCAAATTGTCTTTCGCCAGTAACGCAAACAGTGGCGCAGACAGTCGAATCATGCTTAAGTTTACCGACCACTTGTCTTGCCTAGAGTTGTCAAAGTAGGGCCTATGCCCAAACGAATGTGCACGCAAACGTGACGGCCATATTCTCAACATTACTATGAATCTCAAATTGTCAGCTAAATATCCAACCATAAATGAACTGCATCGAATCGGTGTAGACATTTCGCTTTACAAATTGCATAATCACCTGCAAAGGACATTTCATACTTTTCATTTCATTTTAGTGTTCCACAAGCCATTTTGTTTCAATAATTTACTTGAGTGACGTCACACAGCGTCTTCACCGCATATGTACGCGTTGTAATCGTGCGTGCTGTTTGCAAATATTCAGAATAATGTTCTTGCACCTCAGTCACTCGTCTTCAAGTCTATAGTGCCTGGGTTTTTAATATCTTACAGCTGACGTGTAGAGGGCGAAATCATGCTTGCTGATCGTTGTTCCCATTTAACGTTTTCACAAAGGTAGGAAAAGCCAACACATTCACAACCATTGGGACAGGTAACGTCTGTTGTGAAATAAATAAAATACAAACCAAATACCTCATATCACATCAATCCTAATATGGATTACTAACAGTGAAGGCGTTGGTTCGGTTGTGGCATGATTTGGCAAAGTGCGTCACTGGGCTTGGTATGCAGTTGGTGCTCAATGTGTAACACCATAGCAAGGACCGGTTGCCGATTAAGATCCAGTTCAGAGGAGGATGGACTAGGGACACACTAGTGATGCCATGTTAATTGCTAATTATGACCTTGATTTTGGCCGTGTAGCATCATGCCCAATTATCAATAATCGACTTGACGCTTCCATCTGAGTTCTCAGGACTTACTGCAAAACAGTTCATCATCACCGCCTGGATCGTCTTCCATCTCAGGGCAATCTGGCTTCCCGTCACAGAGCTCCTCCAGGGTTACACAGGTTCGATTGTTTCGGCATCTGTAGGCTCCTGGACACACGAACTGACCTGTAAGTCACAAAAGAAATAATTAAGCATAATTTTATTTAACCGATTGTTTCATTTTCAAATCGAATCCTTCACCAAAGAACTCAGCTTTTAGGACTTATCTAAACCATGTTTTTTTTTGTTAATTCACTTTGGGGTAAGCTACATGGCTTCAGTTTAGCAGGCAAGTGTTCTGAAGAGATTTGTCAACCTTGACGCCCTACAAGAATTAAAAAAAAAAATTCGCGCGATTTACTAAAAAAAAAAATTAAAAAAATAAATTCGTGTTTTTATATTCAAGCAGATTTTTGGATTTCAATTTTTTTAAATCAAATCAGATTTTATTTTTTCATTAAAATTGGAGACATTTGGCTAGATTATTTTTTCAAAAGCGAGCAAATTAGCTGCATGCGTTTTAATTTTCATAAATTTTTCTGCTTTGCTATACAATTTAAAAAAACAGTGTGATTTGAACTTTTAAACAAAGTAATTGACTCAATCACAAATCACCTTAAATATAGTCTAAACCCAGTGAAATGCATGCAGTGTGCTATCTACCGCCACGTGTACCCTCAATGACGATACTTCCTTACAAAGACATGTATGGTACATGTACCAAGGATAAAGTGCGTACCGGGTTTTAAACCGAACTCAAAGTTTTGACAAAATTAAAGTTCACAAGAACTTGTTAACAGGGCTCTTCTACCTGTATCAAATACTTTATGAGTGCAAAATCTGCCATCAACCACATTCAAATGTATTCACATGCATTCGACATACTATAAGTACACAGATCTATAGACTGGTATTTTATTTTGCTCTAGTATTCACAAAAAGTAGTCTCGTTTTGTTTTATGATCCAGCTCCTTTTTGATTAATAGAGCAATGCTTTAAGCTTGATTAAAAATCACTTTATTATTGAGAGCATATTCTTATAGGTTTTAGAGTCATTGTACAGTGGCCAAACATTTCTAATCTCAATAAAATAAATGTGTACTTGTAGAGACAAACGGTTGATGTACACTGATATTTCACCATGTCAAACTCTGCAGCGGAAGATTAAATGAAGTACAATTAAATCATGCTTATAAATCCTTCATATCAAATTCATTCACTGAATCCAAAACGCTGTTTTAAATCGAAACACGTGGATTGAATTTAATGAAAAAAGCCTCAAGCCCAGATTGTGTGAAACACATGTGCTGTCATACTTTTTATTAATGCAGAAAACTGAAAGATTCTCAGAGAGAGATTTGTTGTCTAAAATGTGCCAAACCTGCAAAAATAAAAACTAGTTAGTTGAAACTAATTTAAAATTTGAAACAATGTTGCCTTAAATAATCATACAGGCCCACTATGTTGATTTAAATCGGTGATTTAAAAAAATCATTTGATTTAAATCGCAATTTAAATTGGTGGTTTTAATCAAGGTGATTTAAATCATCAAACCCTTCTCAAAACGGGAGAATATACAGGGTACACATCCGCTTGAAGTATTTTAAAAGTCCAAAACAGTTTCCAGTTTCTGGTCAGGAAATGGCTCCAAAAGTGGTTCGGACACGTGGCTTTTTTAGACTCATAATTGTTGGGAAATGATGTGCGTATAGCGCGCGAAAACCGTCAAGACTGTATGTGAGCGCAAGGCCGGCCGCCACCAACACTACAATAGGCAGGCTCCCGCACGTTTTACTGTTTAAAGCATTCTCAGCTTGTTTGTGTACACAGGACTTAAGATCACCTCGTCTGTCTGGTTCACAGACGTGAATGTGTACAACAGAAATGACGTCAACTGAAAAAGAGTGCCCGACTAAATGTATGGTGACCTAGAGGGACACTACTCTACATATTATTCAACCGTACCCATCAAAACGCGTTATAATTACGCTATAGCAGGATTCCAGTCAAATAAGCAGGTTTGGCAGCTTTTGGACGTCGTTTATACCAAATAAAAGACGTTTCGCTGACGCACAAGTCTACCGTGACACACGCGCTGATCAGCAACATCAGACGTTTGGGCCTAATGAGGAAATCAGTCCAGGAAAGTAATCAATCACTTCATATGGGAACAATTTGTACATTACACTTCTGACGATAATTTTTTTATTGAAAAGAACAAAGGAATAACCCACAAGCATATAAAAGAAAAAGCGCTGTGTTGCGTTAAAGTGGCTTTGATCACTTGGGCAAAACGATTAAAGGTGACACTATTGGCCAAGAATTCCCTCGCAGAATGGATTTTTATTTCCCAGAAACAATTATAAAAAAGAAAAAAATATTCCTGCAGACTTTGAACCAAGGTCGTCCTTGGCATTATTTCTTGTTTAAGCTACGGTACCTTATTTCAATTAATTGACCTCTTCCTTCTTTTGCAGGTTTCGTAAAGTGGCAATTCACTGCACCTTGTTGAAAAACAGAGGATCGGATGCATTCAAAATTCAATCTCAAGCCCAAAGAATTGTGATCACATTTCTTTTAAAGCTCTTGCTTACCGCAGTTGTTTTCGTCTTCTTTGTCAGGACAATCTCCAACGCCATTGCACCGAAAACGCAGAGGAATGCAGTAGGAGTCTGGGCACTTGAACATCATCACGGGACACTGGAAATCTTCTACAAGAAGACAGGGTAAGAAAACAATTTATTTTGGTTATGAGTAAAACAAGAAGAACGGACCAACCGACATCGAGAGATGTCCTGAGTGGTATACATTCATATCGTACAATTATCTCAGTTACAGTAAACATTTCCCTACACGTCAAAAAAGGGATTCAAAACAACCAGTAGTGGAAAAGAACATCTTTTCAATTTGTATTTCAATGGGAGCATTTGCATTGTCGGTTTGCATATGTTATTCATGTATTAACCCAGATATTTACAGTCTTTCGACCCTACTCTTCTTCAAAACTGTAAACAAAAAGGTAAGAAACGATGTTCATAGGTTGAATTGTCGGTTTTGAACAACCCAAGAAGATAATAGCTTAATACTGAAGCACAATTGCGAGGCCTGGCGTTTAGCAAAAGCGCTCCATAGTGTTTTTTTTTCAGGAAATCACAGGGTTAGACAAGAATAAACAGGGTCTTAAATGTGATTCTTCTAGCTTGAGACTTGGTTCGTGTGGACGACGTATTGAACATTACCGCAGTTTCGTAGGTGAGTGACGTCACGACAACCTTTAATGTAACCATGTTGGTCGACATCGTAAAGACAGGTGTGGCTGTCATCCACGCAAATACCGCTCCGGCATCGCGTGACGTTAGGTGACATACATGAGTTTTTATACTCTATGCCTACATAACACACAAAAACAATACACATAAGTTAACTTCGTGGTATACCAGTACAAATATGAATGAATGGATGAATCATAGTACAAGATGATCTATTCCACAAGAACATTTCCAAAGGTTTTCTCTAATTTAACGACTGTAAATTCACTGTGCCAAAAAATCTTAACCATGAACAGACCTTTTTGCTCCGCAGGTTAAAGAGTGTATTTTCTCTTATACATTTGAGTTATCAACCACAAACGTCCAGTTTTAGATATATGCAATTACTTTATACAAGAGATCTTTAAAACAGGGTACAAGTGCCACAGTTTAGCTAAAAGACTGATATTTTACTGTTCGTAATATGAATATTTCATTTAACCCTTGCCCTTTCTTTTCGTAATTAAACTGTAGAGAGGTTTTTGGGTCTGCAGAAGGGGGTGTAAGTGATAGTAGTAAATTGTGGACGTATCATCTTTTGCCACTCTTTCAATAAATTGTGTATATGATTCAGTACTTTGTTTAATTTTTGATTTGCTTTGTTCTTTTGTTTTGTTCGGTTTATTTGATTCCCTTGCTGTGTTGTGCTGTGCTGCTACATTGCGTTGCATTGCGTTGAGGTTTTCGTTTTGTACTGGATGTCCACTTAATTTGGTTCCCTAGGATATATCTCTTCCCTTTTCTTCAAACGTTCTATATTTTGCTTCAGGTCGCCTTGCTAATGAAGCAATGCGTTTACACCGACCACTACAAACCCTAGCTCCGCTGTGGCGTCCCAAACTCTCAGGGAAAACAGTTTAAAGGTTAGGGGTCATGTTTAAGCAAAACGAGGGGTCGTATCACCTTACCACACGGTACTTCATCCTCGTAATGAAGACCTCCACAGTCGGGATACGTGTCACACGTATACTCGATCGGTATCCACCGCGTGCTGTAACACTGGAATCCTCCACTCCTGACCTCTAAGTATAACAAAAGAATGACACATGTTTAGCCGTGGCAACAATATTTAGCACTTAATACGGAACATTTTATTGTTACGGTATGAAACTATGTTGGCTGCAAATTGATATTTACTGTTGTAAATTGTTTTCCTTGCCTGACTTTTTTGTAGTTAGTGAGAATCGTATTATGAATGTTAATGATAGTGTTTTAATATGGACTGGATTTACAATAACTAGATAAAAACTGATATTTGTCAGTAAAAAATTCGTCGGTAAAACCCTGAAATTCATTTTTTTCTTCAAATCTGGTCTTTTATGCCATGATGTCTGTTTAGCAATTTGTCAGTCTCATCAGAGACTGTTGAAAAGCGTTAAAGTGATATGGTCTCTATATGGTGCAATGTTAGTAAAGCAACCAAGAGGCCATTTACTGGTCATTCCTGAACTCACGGTACAAGGATGAAAACCGTTTATTTCATGTGGGTTTCAAAGAAAATGCAAAACGTGTTCTCGTTCTTTCATGCTGTGCAGTGTCAGCTTTGCGGCTCTGCTATGGGAATGTTCCTTCTGCCACATGTTTGATCACAACGTCTGTGCGGGTAAATTACTTTTATCTGCTGCGTAGCTAACTTGCACATAATTTTCACATACTGGGGAGTGTTGGATTTCGTTTTGGATTCAAAGTCTGCTACCGGTCTCTGTACCTTCGCAGACGAAGAACAGAGAAAATGGGACCCACTGTCAGGCAGCGCTCAGATCGACAAATTGATTTCACGACAAAGAACGACCAGTGAGATTTGGTGGCTTGTAAAATCTACTCTCTAAGTACCTACCACATCCGACTTCATCACTAGCAGTACCTTGGGAACCATCACAATCGTCAATCATATCACAGCGCTTGCTCTTGTCAATGCATTTGCCGTTAGGGCACTGAAATTCCGACTCACTGCATTTTGGCCGAACTGCAAGAAAAAAAGGAAACATCAAAGAAACATATAAACACTGACCGTTGTGGGCAATCAAGAAAAAAAAGGTTCGTATCCGCGTATTTAGATTTATAGCTGGTGCATGTCTAACAAAGACGTAATGTTTTAAGTGTGCGTGTATTCATCGAAACTGCAAACTCTAAAATGGACAATAGAATGCGTGGTTACAAAGCCAGTATAGAAAAAAACAAGTAACTTTGTCAACCTTGTTAATGTTCTGCTCATTACTGTGGTATGTTGTACTACTTACAGCCCAAATGAAAAACTCTAAGCTGAACGAGATGAACATTGCTTTAACTCTGATGCAGTGCACGCAATGCACTGTGTGGAATCCATTTTCATAGGTAAGAAAAGAGTGAAAAACACTCAGACAGAGGAATCATATGAATACCAACTCTTTTTGAGTCTCCATTGTAGTTCCTTGAAGAGTGGAAATGTTGCTTTTTTGAGTAATTTAAAATCATTTCTGAATTGATTTTCGTTATTCCATATGTAGTGTTTTCTCCTTTCAGATTTTTTTTTCACTTTTTGGAGATGTTTTCAAGAAAAACATTTTTGGCGATTGAATTGTTCACTCTTACATTTATAAATGCAAACAACTACGTTTGGCATCATAATAATTTTACAAAAATAAATACAGTAATAAATATAACAGTTTTCGACTAGTTTATTACATTTTCAATACTGAACAACCTAGTTTATTACAGTTTCAATACTGAACCGCCTAGATAATGGAATTTTCCAGCGCAATCAGTATTCCATCAAATATTGGAAGAAAACTAATCGAATAATTGGCATATATATCCCTGCAGGTACTCTCTCAACAAAAGTTTGCCTGAAATCTAGATCGATCACCTAGATCTACCATGTACTTACCACAGGTTAACTCATCCCATGCGTCAAGACAGTCGTCATGAAAGTCACAAAAGGAAGACGCTGAAATCTCGAAACCGTCGCATTGAAACCTAAACTTTGAATAGTCCGTATCTACAACAGCCGGAGCGATAAGAAGAGAAAAATAGGCGTCAGTGCAGATAGCACTTTCATTGAGGTGGAGGCACACTGTAAACCGACGAACAGTTTGAAGTAGACTTTTCTCTTTGGAATGCTATTTGAAATTAACGTTCCAAGCTAATGCCACATGGAAGAGATTGAGAATACCAGAAATTGCAGACTGATCAAACTACATAAATTGAGAATTAAATGAGCCGCAAGTTAAGCTTTCAAGACCACAATCTTTAAGGTCTGCTTACCTCTGATTCCGCCAAAAACATCCCCCGTCAAAAAATTCAAATTTTTAAATATCCAGTGCATGTAGTTTGGATTTTATTCCAAGAAATGTGAAGGGAAACCAGATTCGTTTTGCGGTATCAGGGTTATTAGTTACCAATTTTATTGTTATTATTAAACAAAGCAAAAGGGAAAATGTGATTCATTTAATTTTGTATACAACATTGGGATTACATCTGAGGCAAATCATATCCTGAGGTTTTTTTTCCTATGTACTACACTACCATTGTCAAAGCGCCTAGACCGTTGTCAAAGCGCCTAGACCACCAGAATGCATCATGATCACTTTCTAACAGGCCACGGTAAGTATCAAACTTACAAAGACATTCCTGACAGACTGACACACAAGCAGACAGTTGAACTTTGAGCACAACTAAATGGTGGGATTTCACGGTGAGTGAATACTGCAGATTTCAATTCGTTAGCAGTTTGCTTCACAACCACAGCATTCTACAGGTCCTTGTATGCGCACAGTGATAGTGCCACTCCAGGGCCGCAGTCACAGTAGGTCTAACATGACTTGGGTTCAAGGGGCGTCCGAAAGCATAACAGAGATTGGACACACAGTGGTAGATCATTAGGTATCTCACCCACTGAGCAGACCTCTCCCTCGTCGCTACCGTCAGAACACTCATCCACCGAGTTGCAAACCAAGATCTTCTGTATGCACTCCCCGTTGGCACACTGGAACAAGTAGGATGGGCACTGCCGCTGGGTTTCTACAGAAATAAAGTGGAATCAAATGGGTCATGCAACAGCCCCCTAATTAAAACTACCCTTCCAGTTTGAACAGAGATGATTACAAACGAAAGTAGGCTAAAGGAATTAAAAATTAAGAACGTTTCAACAAGTCAAACGGCGAATAAGCCTTTTTGAGAGTTAAATTTGGTACACTGGGTCCTCATAAGAATTTGAATTCTCCATACTAAAGCCACAATTGTTGCACCTCATAACTCGGGACAAGCTTGTGCTTAATTACATTACATAAGAGACGCCTTACCAGCACAATGTTTTCAATGGATAATAAGGGCAAAATGGAATCAGTGAATTCTAGAGATGTCGGTTGCTATTCAAAGGTTTTCCCCAGATTACAAAGTATTGTAACACTGTCTTTACTCCGGGAAATTAAAACTTTTCAGTTAGATAACTTGATATGCGAGATCTTATCCAATTTAACTCACAAAAGGTTTGTTGGTTGATTTTCTGCTAAAACATAATACATCCTCTCCATCAAAACAGAACAAACGTACAATTTGGCTGGTAAAGACAACGCGGCTTGATCATTGCGAAAGCTAAAAAATACAGCCAATGCTGGTCTCATCTCATACTACTGTGCGACACAAACAAAGATACACCCATAGCAATTCCTTCTGGACTGGCAAATGTACGAAGTGAAAGGGCTATAACCAGAGTCTTGTATAGAAAGAATAACGCCATTAGTGTCGCTATTATCGGAAAAGAAAACTTGCAGGTATATAGCATAGTGTATATCCACCTAGCATTGATACGTTGGACCGACGTCAGCAATCGTCGGATCCCTCGCAGTCGTATTTCTGGCGTTGGTCTGACCTTAGTAAATGGTCAAAATTTGGACGTTGGCCTGCCAACTTTCAGTCGACGTGGCAGTTGGTTTGCATATATGACGTTGAGTTGCCGATGCTGCGCCGACGTTTAGCGTCCAGTATGCACTTTGACGTCAACATGCCAACTCGGTGCCGAGCTTGGCTATTGGTTTGCATATTTGACGTTGAGTTGCCGATGTTGCGCCGACGTTTAGCGTCCAGTATGCACTTTGACGTCAGCATGCCAACTCGGTGCCGCACTTGGCTATTGGTTTGCATATTTGACGTTGAGTTGCCGATGTTGCGCCGACGTTTAGTGTCCAGTATGCACTTTGACGTTGGCATGGCAAGTGTATGCTAACGTTAGTGATTGGTTGTATGTTTGACGCTACGTTGTCGACGTTGCGCTGACGTAAGCATACAATATGCACTTTGACGTCGGCATGCCAACTCCGAGATGTGCCAACGTTTGCTACTGATTTGCATAACTTCGAGGGTTTGCCGTCATGCTGATGTTGGTGAATTGTTGTATATTTCACGAGGTTTTACATGCCAACGGCAAATACAATTCTATGATTTTGTGAGTTAAAAAAGAAAACAACTAGTTAACATGGCAAAAAAAATAAACATACACTTTGAAGGAATGATTATGAAAACCTTTCGTAAGACTTAGAGTGCTTTAATTCGACATGAACAGTTGAGCAGCGATGTCAAGAGATGAAACTTGATTGTTTGTGAACTTTGAATGTACAATCATGGCACACATGACCCGCTAACAACTTGAGCAAGCAACAAATACTACACGACTCTATGGGGACGCATATGGTGTGCATCAATCATGCCACCACTTAAGTGACCTAAGGGGTGACCCTGCATTCCAAAACAGTCTGCCTGTACTGAGTGGGACAATTTGAATTTTATAGCACAGAACCGTTACAGTTCGAAAAACAATTGGTGAACTGTAGCCGTAGTCATGGTGTTTTGCAGAAAAATCCATCAATTCTGCTTTTTTGAGTGGAAAAGAAATTGCAGGAACATACTTACGTAACATACCTATTGTGGACATTCATTGTTTTTTTGCAACTCAGTAAACTGGGTGAAATACTCATTTCCCTTGAACGCGTGTATGATTTCAGCTAGATTTTTGTAAAACGTTTCCTTCGCTGTTCCTCTTCCTTTTTTGACACATAACCTTAACCCCAAACGTGCCTCTAAACATCTTTTCAAGAAAAGGGCAAATGTCCTATGGCCGTGGGTAAGTCCAAAGAACGTCTTCCCTTCCTGCATCGTGTGGACATCTTTTGTTCACAAGTCCACACTCTCTATATATGAACAGCCAGCCATTTACTTTCCAACATCTGAAGCTGGTATATCTCTCAATATGAAGCACTCTGAATAAACCTCAGATATCAACCCTTAAAGAAGAATAACAAGTAACTAATATTGATTTCAGTTTCCTACCTGATCCAACAAAATCACTGATATCCGGAGGCCTTGTGTAATCTGATAACAGATAAGATGCAAATTTTCAGTTCTGTTACAAACGGTTCGAATTTTTTTTCGAATTCGAATGAATTCAGCATCCGTGAAATAATAATGTGATTGGTTGTCACAAAATGAAGCTGTATCTGGACTGGAGGGTCTTAGTGAGTCACTACAAAGACTTAAAAGACTAGTGATAAAAGCTGAAGACTAAAGCTGAAACAGAAAAAACGTTACAGGGGGTCGACCTGACCTTCTGCCATTTTCTTGCATACGTATTGCTTGGCTTCCCTCGCTGCACACGCAACATCCACCCAGTTTGACGTCCTGGCAAAATCATTCAGCGTGATCATGGTGCAACCTTCCAACATCCCACCGTTAGGGTTATTGTATTCGAAACGTTCATCCTCTTCCTCGTCCTCCTCCCTAGAAGACAAAAGAATCATTTTTCATTAGCGACTGGCATTTACAAAGACTCTGTCAAATATACACTGCACTTTGTGTGTCGATCCTAACGATAAGCACCAAAAGGTCAGATGGTGGGTTTTTCCATCAGCAGTCAAACGGACATCCACAAGCCTTTTAAACTTCTTTTTCTTCGGTCAAAATGGATTGGTTCCGACAATCTATGTGCCCTGAAACGGCTAAAACCATTAGCCGGAGGGTTTCTACAAGGATTTTTTTTTCCTATTCACACCAAACCAGCTTGAGCATCGCCTTACATCATAAATACAATTATTAACCATGAAACTTACGTGAAATCCAATGCCCAATCTGTGAAAGTCATTGGGCTTCTGTCTGACCACAAGAACACACCTTCGACTCTTCTATTAGTTAAACCTATAGAAAAATGACAATCACTCTTAGACGTAGTGCAAGGCAAGCAAACAGCCCGAAATTCGGGGCAACGAAATGCCCGTATGCCAATTTCCTTAAGAAAGCCTTGAGCTGTTCCTGGAAAAAAGGCGATTTCTACCAAAAATATTTATCTTAGGCTGTCAAAGACAACATAAAATAGTAGAACGTTTGCACAGCTACTTTCGGACAGAAAGTGCTTTATTAAGATTTCCAAGACTGTTGGTTCTTGGCACCCATCTTTTTTTTTCTGTAGCGGACCACCACCGCACCCATTTCCTTTAGATGACCTCGTAAATGAGTTTTTAGTAGAATGTTCTGATTGATCATCCCCAGAGGATGAAATGTTGCCAAGAAGGCATAAAACCCTAAAACGTATAATTGCTTCCAGTTCATGTGTATGTAAACGTAGATCAAAACTGAACATTTAAGACAATGTGGAGGGCACTAGACAACGCAATTGAGGCAATTAAGGCACCCTATGATTCGGGCATACATGCCCTAAGATATGATTTAACAAGGAATTTGTAATATACAAATGATTGAATTGAAGTATGAGAGATGGTTACGATTTCCTTTCTTGGTGTACACTATATTTATTTAACATGTTTTCAGACCTTATCTTAAGGTTTGGAGTTGTCTCTTTGCATTTTGTGTGAAAAACGGCGCAAAATTATACCAAGCAAAACCTAAGCGAAATTTGCAAAAGGAAAAAAAAAACCTGAAATACACTTTACCTATGTAGGTGTTTTGAGATTCGGTGGTCCATACGGTTGTAAGCATAAAATGTATATAGTCCGCTTCGTCCCTATCTTTAATACTGACCAAAGTCGCTTGTTGATCCTCACAAATGCTACTTGCGTCATCCCAACGGATCTGTTAGTGAGTAAACAATTACAGAAAGAATAACCAGACGAATGTCTCTCATCATTTAACAGAAATGAATAATTATGTATCACCCTCTTTTTTTAGAAAACCTCAGTAATTACCCATCAAAGGCCTGTACATTTAACAATTAGAGATCGACACTGATCAAATTTGCCCAATATTAATAACAGATAAATAGATGCTAATCACGATACGTCACATATCAACATTCGTCAATGTTATTCACAAAATGCATCACGGTCATCACAATGTATGAAACCTGACAGGTAGTGGTGTCAGACAGGTGCTGGCCAACGACACAAAAAAACTAGCAGGCACTGCACACACTGAAAAGATGTCTTTTCTGTGTGTAAACTAACCCTTTGCCAAACTAAACGAGCACACACCACCTGTCCATGAGCGTGGTGGCATCACAGTCGAAGGTTCTAATTCCGAATTACACGGTGTGTCATCGCTAAAGTTCCTTTTCTAGGCCACGGAGCCAGTTTTTGTGTCTAGTTTTGTATTAATTTTAAGTAGCGTTATTCAATTATTACGAGGGAAATTTCATTAAAAACAAAGCAACAAAACCAACGGCATTACCGTTCTCAAGAAACATGCATTAGAGTTTGTTTTTGTTTTTGGTTTTTTGGCTTTTTTATGTTGACTGTAGTGTTGTTCCCCGTTGACGTCTTTCATGAAACGCGCGTTGCACGCATGGGGCTATTAGTTAAAAGTTACAGAAAAAGCCCCTAGCATAATTAAATTTATCCCAGCTGTTATAGACAAAGCAAAGCTCTGGGCCAAGGTGGAATCGTTCACATTTTATGAATTATGGTACACCAAATCATGTGGGTTGGATGTAAACGGCTATATCACAACAAGCAGTTCAGATGTACAGTTGGGGCAAAATGTTTACACACACTTTGAAGAAAACAGCTTTCCTTAGTGTTTCGCAGTTCGAAATAGTTTTTATCAATTTTTGTATGATGTCAGACAAATTGTATCTCAAATTGTACTCATTCAAATCAATATTCAGTATTTTCAATTGATTATACTCAGATATATTTATTATGGTAGTAAAATATTAATATTTCTAAAATTAATTTTGTGACAAATGCACAACTATCTAATGCGGTTCAAAAGTACTTCAGAAAGTGGTCCATTGTGACTTTGAGGTGTGGCCAAAATACCGACAGTGGCACTAATTATTAGGGTTTGAGTATGTAGAGTTGTGATGTTTTAAGTATAAAATTAATATGAATAATATAGACCGTCTCAAGGTGTTTTTATTTGACACATACACCATGTATATCAAGTAGAGACCCTTCTTGTCTGTCATCATGAAAAGGAAAGTTGGTAAGAATGAGTGAGGTTGTAAATTTGAGGAAAACTAGTTTTGTTCTACCAGGTGCAACTTTTAAACCGAACTGTTAGTGTAGCTTGTGTATTCGTTGTTTAGATAAACGTTACTCTGTGTGTTCTTACCGACGATTTCTCTTTGGCAAATCGATAGCAGTGCTTATTGTAATAAAACCAGCCGTCTGCACAGTTGTCGCTGGTCACGGTGACCTCACGTCTTGGCTGATAATACAAGCCTTGGTACCTCGCCAGGAATCTGCCGGCCTCCTGCTCGTGGCCTTGGTAGAACTCAAGCGAGACATGGTTTCGTGGACTCCTGAGCGGCCCAGTCGGTGGACGTGAGTCGCAGAGACGACCCCCGATCTCATCGTCCTCGTTGTCGGACCATTGGAGCAGCTGCAAGTAGCCGGCAGTGCATTCGGACCGTGAGGCGCTGGTGATGTTTAGCAAGTCGAAGACCAACTCCACAAAGGTACCTGGAAGGGTGGTAATCGTCCACCTCCATTTCCCGATCCCTTGGTGAAGCTCAGGGTAACCTTTTGAAGCTACATAGGCACTGGAGTAGTTGCACTGTATTGAGCAGAACTGCCCAGAGTTGATGCAAACAAATTGCCCAACAGAACAACCTGGTGCATCTGTTGACGAAGAATTGGCTAGCAATGTAAACGACAAATTCATATTTTGTATTTTTTTTCACAATGTTGTGAAACAATGATGCTTATTAGAACTTAGTATTCGCTGGCACTAGCAAAATCTTAGCTAAAAATTAGACTAATATGTTTTCCACAAGGCGAAAATTCAATTTCTCTTTGAATGAAGTAATTCGTTCAAATGCACGCAATGTCGCCGCATGCTGTTAGATCCCCCATTAGTGAACACAACGACTTTTCTACCTGTCTAACAAATGTCTTTTTCTCTTTAGCAACATATTTTTATTTGTTCCACAATAAGTGTCAGCCTCCCCAACGAGTAGAATTATTAAATCCTCTGTTTTAAAAAACGAACGGTACCTTTTTTCGTCAATTGGGATCAATTTGTCTAATTGTATAAAGAGCCGCTGTTGTGTCCAACTGGTAAATAATTCAACGCACTTGATCAACAACCCACCACTCAGAAAGCCAAAATAACTAGCTAAGGTGTTTTCAAGTGAAGATTAATGATAGTAGTGATTGACAATATTCTCTAACCAGACACATTATTCATTATAAACGTCTTATGCTTCGGACATTGGTCCTATGATACATTTTTTAAATGCAGAAATGAAGTAGCCGATCAGGCGCTCACCTACTGATTCGTAGTCGATCAAAAATCCAAACTGCTCCCCTAACCGTCCAGTCGTTAAAAAAATTGTGACTTCGTTTGAGTCAGCGATATACAGCGACGGTGTGTTATCCGTACTACTCTGAAGACTTCCGGGTGTGGAGTCTTTTACGATCGAGATACCGTGATCCGTGGTGTCCATGTCGCTCTCTTGAACATTTCCGTAGGAAACAGTGACTCTTCAAAGAAAGCAACAGAAGAAGGAACAAAGCTCATTAAAAAATCCCTAAAATCATCTTGAGCCTCAGAAAGGTTAGGGTGAAATTTGTTACATGCATTATCCAATGCACATCCTTTTTCTCCTCTTTACAAACCAAGCCTTAAAAATTCTGCAAACTTCTCAATGTTTGTTTCAACAAAGAATCTCTCGGGCAATCTCGTGCGCAGAAAACGCTGGGACGCCGCATTTGTTTCCAGGCCCAGATGTGGGATTGCTGACTGGCTCTTGGAGAATTTGAACGAGTTTGCTACCTTTTATACACTTTGGATGGTAGGTCACGGTAGGACACCCAGTCAAATAGTTGCATTCAATTTTACCTAATCACCTTGTCTGTTTCCCTTAACCTCAAATATGCACCACGTTTGGGGGATTCCCCTGCTGTTATTAGACGCCATGGTTCAAAGGTCAATTTTAACTCCCTTCGGCTTAACTCCTAAAGGTAGCAATAGCTCCTACTTAACTTAAATAACGTATTCGAACGAATCAATTCTGCAAGGCTGAAAACAAAAGAGTCTCTGGCCTAGTTGGAGCAGTCGGTTGTATTATGGGCATATCTGTAACCTCATTTTGTGGACACAATGCCAGTGTAATAGCTTGAACTGGTTTAAATGCAGCTTCCCTTGGCCAGTGGCGTAAATCAGTGCTGGTAGTTTTTTGGGGGGATGTGGAGTGATTAATTGTTTACCATGGAAATTCGAAAAGTGTGGGGGGGTCTAACCCGTATAAACTATATAGGGTTGATGTTCATGGTCAAGGTTGTATTATGAAGAATCGTGTATCAGAAAGACATATTTTTGGCTCTGTAATTTTCCCCCTTTTCAGTGATATTTTAAACATTCTAGCCGTTGGGAAATCCGAAAAATATTTCACAATCCAAATAAAGTCTTTTGCTCATCACAAAAAGCGGGGTATTCAATAGTCCATCCCCCACCGCAAAAATGGGATGATTCCCCTCATCTCACCCCCCCCAATTTACACCCATACCCTTGACGCACAGTGAGCAAAGTGAAGCACTCAGGTAATTTGCATGTTGGTGTACCATAGAATTACTAACAATAAATACATGTTCAAATTTGATCCCAACAAAGTGACCCCTTTAATATCCCCGCCCATTGCTGAACAGTGCCAGACAGCCAGCAACCCCTGAGGGTATATAAAGGGGCACGGATTAGTTGTTTGTCTTTAGGGGTTGAAGTGGCACGGCACTAATTGCGAAACAAAAAGGGACCAAGCGTGTACGTACTTGAATAGGGCTCCCACACATTCTCAGACTTGGAGGTTATCTGGGTGAATCCCAGATTAACTTTGTCTGTGCAGGTTTAAAAAGGTTGGTTGAATGAGCCTTCGGCTGTATAACGCTTTCAACTAGTAACAAAAAGCCGCAGTCCATTGTCTTCCAGCCTTCTCTTTAATGCCTTGAGATCATTCCTTTCTTGATGCCTCAAAAATTCATTGTGTCCCTCCAAAACAAGAGGAAAATTGCATAATTCTGGGCGTGCAAATACATTACTCGATCAAGGGTGTATATTTGAACGATGGGAGATAAAGCTCATTTACAAACTTCACACCTTGCATTGTCGGAAAGGAGATTTGAACGGAGGGATAGTTTGACATATTTGCCTTTCTCCACACTGATTAACCATCTGCATCGTGTGTGCCCGTCGATGTTGGCGTTTAGGATATCCAGCGAGCCTGTCGCGTTTGTCAGAACCGACGGTGATGGACCGCAATAAGGCATGCAGTTGGTACCACAACCTGCCAAGAAAATGAAACACTCAGGATAATGTACCTATATACTTCACGGTACTGGTGCCTTGCAGTATCACCTGTTCGTTTGGTCGTGATTTAAGTCATTACTATTGTCTTCCAACTAAACAGACAGCAAAAATTGATTGATTCGAGTCGCAGAGCAAGGTTAGATTTGCGAGTTAAACCATGGAAAATAAATCATCAAGCAAGTATAAGGATGGTTTTACTATACCGTAAGATAAAGAACTCGGTGTATGTTTGATTTACACCTCGTCCACAGATTTTGCAGATTCAAACTTTCAAAATCTGAAAAGAAAGGCTCCCTCAAATTCATGGGGACGAAAGAAACAATATAATGTCAGGCTGTGACTCCTAAAAATATTCTGTGGCCGTAGTTACAATTATTGAAACATTTGTTCTGGTAACGGCTCTTTTGAATAATTGCAAAACATTTCAACACATGAAGGTTTCAGCGTAGAAATAAACTCATGGGAGAACTAAGTGTTCCGTGGGTCTCATTAAGACACCAGTGGTCGGTCATTCCTGTTGTTGAATTACCTACATGCATTTACAATGTTGGTTTACGCTGGAGCGTTGCATTTCTGGTGATGCTAGGAGTAACTAAGGTTGTAAACACCCCCACCAACTTTGAATCTTTCCAAAGATTAATAGTGTAATCTTTGAACGGTGGGGTTGCGTATTTTGGCAGACCTAGACAGCATTTCCTAAGGTGCTTCTTTCATTCCCAAAATAGTTCAAAGGCAATTCTGCATATTGGATAATAAGAAGAGTTTCTCAGCCTCTTCTGAAAGTTTAGGCTTTGGTTACGTTTATTACAATTCAAATATAGCCACTTCAGTGGAGTGTGAGCAGCTAGCAGCCCTAGTGGTGTAATCGTAAGCGACCCTCATGAAATCATGTCTTGAGATAAAATGATCGATGTCGTTATCTGAAAAGTTACCGACAGGAAAATAAAGATAGACGTTCCGACTCGCAAGTGTTCTATTTTTCGATCTGTGACCTGCTCTTTGAAAAAAAGCCGCAGGTTGCCAGAGTCACTTTGAGTTAAGGGCCTGGATATCAATCTTGAAACAACAGAAAGCAACAGTAACCCTCTATACGTGTATGTTTATTTTCATTAGGTTGCCATACTGGGAAATACATCAACGCGAAAAGCTCCGGTTGCTCTTTCTTGTGCACTCTAAAACAAAATTACTGCTAATACTGCTCTTTGACTCGTTTTCGCGGAGCAAGACGTACTTTTAAATTTTAAAGAGTTAAGATTTACTCCTTTCAAGTGGAAATGCAACCCCTCCGATTGAAACTTGTAACCAGACGAATCCGAATGAAATTAAGTCTCTCTAATAGATCGAGATGGAAGGGGTTATTTTCAAACTATTTCAGAGTGATTTACATTGCTAACACAAAGACTACCAAGAGTAGTCATGTCAATTATTATTTTGTTTTAATGACAATTGTTTATTTTCTAGAATTTTTGGCAAAGGTTCCCAACCTACCAATGACCTTGAATACGGTCTCCAATCCTACCACTGACGGGTAGACGGAGTCCAGGGTCAGGGTCACTTGAAGTACGGCCTCAATGTCGGAGAACCAGCCAGTTGCAGTCACATTTCGCAAATCGTTCCCGCACAGCAGCCTTCTCTGCGTGGTTTTGTTTTCAGAAAGGACATCAAAGATGCCGAAAAAGCTCGATTCGCAGCCATCGGTTGGAGGTAAAGAGACCCTCAAAACATCAAACCTATAAAAACATATGAAAACAATAGAAAATTTCCAGAGGTATATAAAGAAGAATGTTTGTTTCTGTTTTTTTTCCAATACCCGATACTCTGGCTTCATCTCTGAAGTTAAAGCTTACTTTTGGCTGGCACGTTTAAAAATTATTGTTAGGTCAATGACATATTTTACGTTCTATCGGCAGTATTTGATAAAGCATTTAGTGCACCTTTATATTCAGGGGTAAAAAGTAAGGCGAAGACGAAGATGCATCATGGACAGATAATACGAACTCGCTGAGTGTTATCAACAAAGCAAACCGAATGAATCTACATGATCAAATGCTGCAGTGGTTATTTCACTGTGGTTCAAGTATCGCGGTTCCACACAGAGCCTTGTGATTGACGTGACTTTTGATAACCTACGACACGACCGGTCTCGGTGCGCCGACCAGCCAAGTCCAAACAATCGCTGGCCATAGCAAGGTGTTACAAACTGTGACCATAATTTTTGATCGAACATGCTCTCATCAGTTGGAGGACCGAATAGAACTTTTCTGCCTGGAGGCAAAAATCCAAAATTTCCTTATTTTTCCAAGATAATCTTTCAATTTGTCCAGAAAATGTCTGGCTAAGCTCGCGTGTCTTGAAGAGCATTTTATTTACATTACTGTGTAGTTTGTCGGTACACTGAATCGTAATGTTGCCAACATGACGTCAGAGTGCAGATGGGGAGGATAGATCCACTTGCGAAATAAGCCAAACGGGGCATCAACGGTGATTGGTGCAGACGTATCTTCAATTGATGCAAATTCTAGGAGAAGAAAACAGATTTTGGTACAAACTTATTCCCAAGAGTCATTAATTAAATCGCATGTAGATAAACAACTTGTGATAATGCACTGCTGGACCAACTTCAAGCTGCGATGAAGCGATCACGAGTGCAAATTTGTGACGTTGGATCAAGTATTTGCGCTTTTAAGGGGTAACAGAAATTGAAAGCATTTATTTCACGTGAAGTTTTTTAACATATACCTAACCTATTCAAAACACCATACATTTAATGTTTTCCCCATTATTTGTGACCCAAAGACGAACGAACAGATCCTGTGTTTCCCCACACACAAAAGATCCCCTTTTGGCCGTTCGTGCCCCAAGCCTGATTGGATGACATAATCGCCTGTTACCCTTTAAAAGAATTCTCAGCTGTTGAACGAATTCCCTGTAAACAATTCGTGCGTCCAAATTAATTTGTGTTGAAATTTGCTTACTTGAAATAATTACATATAAATTTAGTTGAGCTGACCCAACACAGTGCTTGTCAACAAATAAATGGGTTAATTTTTGTTTGAAAATTCCAGCTGTACTTGCATTTTTAAATATTTTTTTTATGCTACGCTACACAACTCACCAATCTTTCCTATTTCAATTTAATTTTCTTTTTAAGCTAAAGACCACCGTTAAATAAGTTTGTTAACTTTCAGTTGCAAACAAGGCAACAAATTGCACCAGCTGCCTTGCATTTTAGATTTTCCGAAGGGGTAGGCACGATATTTCTTTGCCATGTCAGGCAAGTTTTAACTTCATTAAAAAGAGTATGGGGAGGGAGTGTACGCACCCCCTGCCATTATGGTAAACCAAAAGGATGAGAAAACGATATCCGTGATCCGGCAAAAATGAACTATGGAATTAGAAGGCCCGGGCAAACAATTTTTTAGACACACTAGTTTGTTAGACACTTGTTTTGACTGTAAGTGTATTGAAAGTGTATTTTGTCAACATTTACAATTGTCCACGCTCCATAACACAATAGAAGGCACTGTTTGTGATTCCATTCAGTGAAGACACTGTTCAGTGTATGTGGTTCTTTTCGTTCCAAATCAATCACAAATGTATTCACTGGCAGAGAAAATTTGGGAAAGGGCTTCTCGTTGGCTTATTTCCGTGTTTTGCCATAATAGTGTATCCAAAAAGAAAAAGAAGCTTACAATTAAAAGGAATCAGCAGTGTGTGTGCACATATTATTAAGCCTTTTTGCCAGAATGACATAAAGGTTTTATCCATAAATCTGAATATGTTTTAGATTTAAAAATAAAAAGACACCTAAATACCTTATGCCAGAAATTGAAAACGAGTTTAATAGAAACACAAAGATGCAAAGTGGTTGTAACAGAATATATTGCATCGTATAGATTAAGAAAGTCACATTTACCTATAATGCAAACAAATGGCAGGGATATGTTACAATTCAGAAGCCATTCGGAGTCCATATGTGTACTTGTTGAGAGGTCTTTCGCTGTGCAGTTCGTCGCCAAGGGGTTCCGATACACCTGCGGCGGACTCTGGGTGAAACAGGAGCTGTTTTCAGTTCCATGCGACACCCATGTCAAGTTCCATGGCTGGAAGAACCCGTCCTGTGAAAAAATAAAATAAAGCGCATAATGCCAGGGGTAGAGAGGGTGTAATAACCCCCCGGGCAAATATGATTTTTAAAATATGAGATGAAGGCTCCTTGAGAAGGAATATACCGTCTCATTTTTTTTCAAAGAGCACATATTATGTCATAAAATGTAGCTTCACTATTTAGAAAGCCAAAAAAAGTTACATAAAAGAATTCCCAAATGCTTTTCCCCCATCTGCGAAAAAAAATGGCGCCTGAAAATTTGGTCTAGATTCACCTTTGAAGGCACACACGCAATTCATGACTTTAGTCTTTATACATGTTCAAGTGGTGGGCGAAAGCTTTAGTCAAAGTAGTTGAGCAGTACAGCTGCAGTGCTGACACCCAAAGTCCTGCTTGAGACACCTTAGGCAAGTCACCGAAGAGCCAAAGTTTTTACAGCAAAATGCTTGTGTTCAAAACGTCCAAGCAATAATTTACATCATCATAATATGTAATAAAATGTGCTTCGCTAATAAGAAAGGCACAACGTTGATGACACTTTGGAGAGCATTTTGCACTTGAAAAAACGAACTTTAATTTGGATAAAAACTGAAGAAACATTCAGATTTTTTCCAAAACAGGAAACAAACTTTGAGAGACAGGAGAACGGAAATTTTCATCCATTAGGTGGAAGACAATATGTGTAGGCCTATTCAGTTTGGCGTTTGATGCTATTTAAATCTGGATTCACAATTGGATTCACATTATTGTCAATGCAGAAATCGTTCCACTGTGATATGATTGTAATGCCTTCAATGAAAAATCCAGTCATAAAATGTTTATGCACTAACTTTTAACAGTATGTGATATTGATTGATGTTTAATTAAAGGAGGTTTCTTTATAACTTTGATGAAAGGTTTCGATATGGCCTTGTGTGGCCAGAATTCATTCTTCCCATCAAGCTCCAGTCACCCATGCTGAGGTATAGTGCACCAATCTAATATTCATGTTCCAACGACACCGAGTCGTTGCAAGGGTGTTATCGAGACATCAGACCTACCCAAAAAGCATCATCTTTTTGCGGAAGGTGGCTTCCCAGACCGAGCGACAGGCAGGCTGAATTGGCTTCATGCCAAGTCACGTGGTCATAACCCAGCGTATAGCACCAGCTTTGGTGTTGTCCCCAAGCCTCGCCGTTAGACTGGAAGTGCGAGCACACGGCTGACGCAGAAGGAAAGAGAAAGAAAGAAAATTCCACGTACTCTGACTCCTACGTTGAGTTCTAATGCAATGGTAGCCGTCATGGTCACGTGACTAAAATAATTTTTCGAATATGGAGATAAATTCCATAAGTACTGTAGCAAGTACACACAAAGTAAGACTTGGTGAAAAGGAATATTTTATATTTTCGATTTTTTACTGAAGAATTATTATAAAGATTAAAGTTCAAGAAACCCCTATATGTTGCTACAATTCCCGTTAGGTAAGTGAAATTCTAAAATGAAATATAACAATGGTAGAGTATTTTTTTAACTTACGAACACAGCCTTTGCCCTCCGCAGAGTCCAACACGTAGCCGGTTGGGCACTGACACTGGTAACCACCAGGGTAGTTGATGCACTCGTGAGAGCACCCATGGTTCCCGGCACACTCGTCCAAATCTTCATAAATAGACGACAACGTTACAAGGCTAAGAGAGACTGTGACATAGATTATGCCCAGCGGGACCGCTTTTATAAGGTTATATACTGACACCCACATCAGTTTCCGATCTCAACCAGCAGCATATCCAACTTGGGGGGGGGATTCGAAAGCGAATGCGGCTTTGGGTTTTCCCCACATGATGTTGGGGGAGAAAATTACAAAAAGCCTTACAGTCCCGACATTCTTGTTCATAGTTCGTGATGTTATTTTCTTAGGGTTTGATGCTAGTATTTGATAAATAAAATATTATTATCAATAAATATGTAGGTCTTTTTAACGAATCTGTGAGGGGAGAGGGCAAGTTTCCCCCACACCCCACGCTAGATAAGCCATTGATTTCAAGTCCACACTCAAGGGCAGATCGAGAGCCGAATTGCCAAAGGTTGAACACTTTTTATGTTATCCGTGTGACCCTTCCAGGAGTATGTAAATCGGCTGTTTTCACGCTCTTGAAGGCTTTATCGGTATTACGGTCCATAAAAATCATTTTTTTCGAACTTAACAATGATCGGCACGAGCTGGTGTAAATACGCAATATCCGCTTAACAAGACTGTCATAGTTATACTTATGTCAGTCACACATAGCAACTGTGGACATGTCCCGGAGGCCAACACCTTGCGTGGACTACCCCGGGTCCAAACAAGGTTATGCTTCCTCCATTTCTGCAAAAGTTGGAAACGCATTTTGGGATCAGTCTGGGAAACCATTTATATTAACAAACATCCGGATTATAAGAGTGCTCTAGACGCCAACTGTGGACAAACTCATTTTGGGTTCAATCTGGGAAACCATTATTAACAAACATCCGGATTATAAGAGTGCTCTAGACGCCAAGTATACAAAGGAGTGATCACACTAAATAGTTAATAAAACAGCTGTGCCTATACGGTGTTCAACCTTAAGGCTGCGCTTAAACCGAGGAGGGTGCTTCCAAGCTATCCACTGAGGGCTAGGGCTGTATCTCAATCAACTGGCTATGGGGAGGGCCTAACACACAAATCTGTTAGGAAGTGGAAGCCTCTTCCTGGAAGCCCCAAACCGGGAACATCACCCAATGCACGTTTTGGGAACGGGTCCTGTTCGGCTGCTCTGTCGGGTAGCACTCAGTAGTTTAAATGTTCAGATTAACTAGCTGATATATTTTCCGAATAACGGCCCCCTTCCCGATACCGAGAGTGTGCTCAGCCTTTGACTATGCAGCTCTGAGACTAACTGAACGTTTAAGCTGCTGAGCTAATCCCACTTTACAAAGGTCCATGTAGCTCACTGACTCACAATATAAACCTAACCAATTTAACTTATGCGCATGAGAAGATCCCGGAATATATACTCCCAATGTATCAATTCTTCTCACCGGTCTGAAATTTTGTTTTCTCATCTGTTCGATGTGGAGTTCCTGGTGCTATTTGGATGTCAGCTAAATGGCAATTAAACACTGTACAGTTTTCGCGATTGATTCTTTTCTAAGAACCCTAAATTGCAGAGAGACAGGGCTTTGGACATTTGCAATTGTAGGGGAGGCTGTGACGTGTCCTTTATCCCTTGTGTGGAGATATTCTAACACTGTCATAATGACAAATTACACAATTCTTTATGTTAAGGAATTTATTTAAAATAAATTTATTTGCTTCAAATACTGATACACCATAAATATATCCAATGTGCCCTAAAGACACCCCCTGAGTGAGGGCTCTTCAAATTCGAAGAAATTTGGCCCATATTACTGAGGAACCCCACTAAGTCCCAATATTTGATCTGTTGATCGCCCATTTCTAAACTTTCGATTGGCGTATTGCCCTTCGGCTCCACACAATTAGTTTTAGGCATTCACCACAAAACCAGTCTTTGGCACAATTTTACGCTCTTTTCATTTTCATATCTGTTTTCTGAAAAAGACAAATAAAAGAGTTGTACTGCGCAAAAGGGCTTCACATTAACAGACTCCAATTATAAATATGCTTACCATACTGGCAAACAGTGCCCCTGCTATGTAGATGTTGAGGATCACATGATGCAGACCTCCAGTGAGAAAAAATGGCAACAATTTCTACGCACAGTCCCGTGCCATAACTCGGTCCCCAGAGGTCAAACCTGGTGAAAGTTGGTTTTGTGCCGTCTGGCCATGTAAATGAATACACCTCTGTCGTCTCGTTGAGGCTTGCCCGCAGGCCAATCAGGTACACCGTCGAGCCGGCTCCTCGGAGAACGTCTCCAACCGCCGTCTGCATCTCTTCCGTGCGGATAATAACCTGGGTGGCCCGGTGACCGAAAATTGCCTCACAGGCGCCCGGACTGTCCGTCTCGATTGCACCCAGGCAAAATCCCTGGTAATAAGTCGAATCCTCGCTGCAGAAGTCGCCATGCTCTGTAAGCCAGTGAAACAAACGCCACGCTGTAACTGATTTTACTTTGCAGTTTATGTGTGTGCAACAAATCCAACCAACTTGAGAACTTCTTTTTTTTCTTGGGATTTAAAGATCCATTATGTAATTCTCTTGTTTACTATAGGGTATTCCTTTTGGGCGAGAATTTTTTTGGTGCCCTCAAAATGAAGAAAATCCCTACCTTTGGGATCAATTCGCTAGACGGTGTAACGCCAAGTAATATGATACAGGTTAATAGTTCATAGATTTCGTAGAGACATAGCTTTATAGGTTTTCCCAGCCAAATTAATGTAAACAGCATTCAAATTCGTGAACGTGCATTCACATTCGAGCGATTTCGCGAAGCTCGTGGTCTCATTTTCGAAACTTTGCGGATTCAATTTCGTTAGTAGACGTCGAATCGTGGACTTTCAAGGACTCAATTTAGTAACACTATCATTCAACTTCACGATGCACAAGCGTCACTCAATTTCGCTCTCGGTGACTGGGAGGCGGATTCCTACCCGAATTTTAATTTCGTTTTAATCAATGGGCACTCATATTTGCAATGTAAGCTTTGAAAAGACAATATAACAGTTTCTGTTTAATTTATGATAGGTGTACAGTTTTAGAATCTTCTTGATCACTGGCGATATTTGCTGGGGAACCTTTTCATTTAACTTCATTAATATATACTTTTCTTTTGTCAATTAAATGCTTACCTTAGGATAATATCAAGTTTTATTTTTTGCTTGAAAGTAGAAAATTTCGGTTTACACGAACCATTTATTTTTCTTTTCATAAATCTTCATTATTCCAAGGGTAACTGCCAATCTTTTTTTTTACTTACCTGCGAGCTCACACCCGATAACTTCCATCCTTAGTCCCGGAAAGAGCGACCCCCAGGAGAGAGGTGCAATGCGAACTTTCCTCGTGACGAAAGCCCGGCTCAGCACATGATAAGATACCGTGTACGGTGAAAACCGCCCTTTGAAAATCTGTGAGGCAAGTCCAAAGGGAAATGCTATTAACATCAACAGTCAAGGTATAACGCCATCATTCCTCTTACGCACCTGGCATATGAAGTATTTTGTGCTAGACTCACCACCTCTCACCTCTTCTTTGTATGTGATGAAAGTCATAAGCGAAACGCTGTTACGTAAGAACAACTTTTACATAAACCGACAGGTAAACCTCTAAATAACCACGTGTCATTAACTTCAATCATAACCAAGCGTTTGCTGCTGGAATGAAAATGGTGAATGTTTTGCTGCTATGGATGTGGGAATTCAATCTGACTCGAACAGAAGCACCCCCTCATCGGTTGAAAAGAGTCATGTTGGTCGGGAGTATTCATTTTGTTAGTAGCGATGCGACCGTGACGCGTGCATTATTCTCCTAGTCGTTTTTGAACCAGTGAAGTTCACTGCCCCGTATGACCAAAGGAGCCTCCATTGATAAGAAAATGGCACCTTTCTTTGCCCAGCTAGAGGCCCATAGCACACTTGCCAGTGTATTTTGTAGGCACTAAATTATATGAAGGAACCCCAATATTTCGTAAGACTCCGTGGTAGGATCTAGGCGCGGTGCCTCTGCCTTTGGTAGGATGGTCTGGCCCTGATTGCAACGTACCATTTTATTTCCATGGTTGTCCCTATAAACCTGCCACGTCTCCCTATTCTGACTGTCCTCCACTGCGAAAAGTATAAGGTACGTGTCCACCCAGAGCGAGTACTGATGGTCCCGTCCCGCCTGAACCATGACCCCGCTGACCGTGTGTAAGGTCAACAGGTCAATCTGCAGCCAGTCCCCGCCGCCGTTTTCCCCAAGGATCCACCCGCTGGATAGGCCAACCCACTGGTGGAGGCGGGGCGTTGCCGTGGCCGCCTGACCGGCCTCGCTCCTGTTCCGCTGAGTGGATAATTGATGGTCCGCAATGCGGCCGGTCTCCATGCCCAGTCGTTTTCGGCAGCCTGTACATGTATTTCAAAACAGGCAATTATGAAAGTGATGGACGTATTGCCATTTGTTAGCGTATCATTTAGGGCTTTTCAGCGATGGAGCGTCTCCTTTCGTCGACCTGAAAACCAATCTTCAAAATATGACGCCTATTAACGTTTAACTAAACGTCAAAATATTAGTGCATGTACATAAAGGCTTAACTTATCATACTAAATGAGGCAAATGCTATTGTTTACATCACGGTCACGTCGTGGGTTAACATGAGATTGCATTATAGATGAAGGTGCCAAGACCTATGTACTCGTTAACCGCATCTCGATAAACCACTCCAAAACAGACAGTACCGAGTTACCTGATAACGACAAACAACCAACAAGTTCCACTTTCAAGCAAGACAATTCATCCGGCTCAAGTAACGTTATGATGACACTGGTGCATGTAACAGGTGCCAACAGAGTGTGTCTGTACAGGTAGGAAGTACCGCTGTTGCCACCAATTATCTGGAAATTAAATTGAGAAAACATAAACTTTACTTACTATTGCGATATATTTTGACGATGGTAATTGAAAGAGCATTGCAAAGATTTCGTGATGTTTATCTCAAGATGGCACGTTTGGCGTAGAGGGTTTGTCATTTTAAATTATTGCCAAATGATTAACTACTTTTTGTTTTCATAGGCCAATTTTTATAGGCCGCAAATGCTTCAGTCGGCTTTTATGGCGTCAATTTTTAACAGAAGAGTACCCCACTTAATGATTTCCGGACCCGTTAAGATGACGTGTTTGACATTTGAAACCAGTGAACATAGGTACAAATCCAAACACTTAGAGGAAATTACGTTTTGATCAAATAAAAGGAGCTTCGTTCGAGAACGATGGTGCTGGGATCCCAGAGTCAGTGATAAACATGCATGGTACCCGTCAAATCTGTAACAGGTTAACCACAGCATTCAAAAAGTGTAGGACATGATGTAGGAAAGCACACACATTTTTTGTTTACTTGCAGTGTTAGTTTGTCTGTTAGCTTCTGAAGAGTCAACATTTTCACAGAAGTAGGGCAAAACTGGCAAAACATTTTAAAAAGAGGGAAATTTTTCCGAAACTGTGTGGAACATGGGGACATTGGAGAAGGCGATTTGTACCCATTCGACATTACTTCTTAATATAACAGCAACATCTGAATATTAAACTAGTCCACGGAAATTGGGCAATTACAGATATTTCTGGGAACGGGTGGAATTCTGCCAATTTGAAAGTGGGCTGGTCAGACAGTCACAGACGTGTTTGAACTGAGTAATCGTCACCTCCAATCTGCTAATCTCATCCTGCACTGGTGACAAGACCACGGTACGGTTCACGTGACTGATTCGCAGTGACGTCGCCCCTCGTGCCACGCAGCCCTGCGTGATGATGGATGTCAACACATGAGGGCGGTCCAGCTGTATCTTAACAGTCGGCTCCGGGTCAGAATGGGCCGGAATCCAACCAATGCCGGACCGCCCGTTGAAGGGAGTGAGACGCGCAGCCCGTCCGTCTTCGGTCAAGGAACGATAGCTGGACACTGCAATCTGGCTGTCTGTTATCTTACCGTTGATCATCCCCAGGGTGTTGTCACAGTCTGGCCGGATAAGCACAAACAGGTAACCACGTCTTGAGTGTATACTTCACATTTTGTGAGCAAAATAACAAGGTGCATATTCTTAAAGGTCCCACTTGTGTTCCCATTCAACCAAACATAAACAGCTTCGAACAAGAAAACAACGCTCGCACATCTCTAAACTTCTGGGAAGGTTGACATCATTTAGGTCAAACTCTTTTCTGAAAATAGACATTGTCATTATGCAAGAATTCTGTCTCCTATTTTTAATACACAAGCATTCGGCATAACTATGAGAAGAGCGGGATCAATCCCCTCAACTATTAAAAAAAAGCAATGTGTATTTCTTATTCAGTTGCCATGGCTGTGGCTTAAGTTACCCCCAAACAAATCATATTGGGTAATCGCTTAAGCCAGGCTTGACGATGGGAATTGTCTGTCGTCTCTGTTAACTGTGGATCGTCTCGAATCAGAAGGTGAAATCAATTTCTGGTTTACAAGCACAAGAAACGTCGAGGCCAGCCAACATTTAATCACAACTGTTCAACATAAAGCAACTTGGCTGATTGTCTGCAGTGGTGTTTTGCGTCAGTTAAGATAGGACGTTTCCATCGTGATTGCGTCTTTTTACGTCGTTATGGGAAGAAATGCCTTAGTTAGTCATCGACTGTTTTGTGTGGTTATGAGGTCAACGTGAAGGAAACACGATTAACGACATCTTTTTAAAGGCCTACCGGTATCTCTGCATCCAATAACCTCTAAACGCAAGGCTACCTGCCCGTGCCACTGAGTCGGGTTGATTTGGAGATAACGAGTGTAGATGGCCTCCTCAAAGAACATTGATCGAACACAGTTTGGTTCCTTATTGGCTTCAAATATCTGTAGATATAAGCAAAGGTTGGCATCTTCCACACTGGTGATAAATTTCCCCAGGAAAAACAAATGCCGGAATACTGTTACACATAACTATCCATTCATCTGGGCTCTAGTTCGAGGATAATTTATAATGTTGTGTGCGTGAAGAAATACTGGCAAGCATCGACATTCGAAGTGCTGGAATCATGTTAATTTAATTAATTACGTTGATATGGGAAAAAAACGGTTTAAACAGAAATTGCATGTGATTACTAAATGGGAGACCTTCCACTCTAACACAAGTGACAGTTTTAAAGAACAAATTGTACTGTGCGTGCTGAGCGCGTGCACAACCGGAAATGGATTGCTCTAAATATTAATTGGCCCCTGTGCGGCTAGCTTCTACTGGACGGTATTGTGATAAAATCGTTCTGTCTGAAAGTGTGCCTCCATTGACCAACCAATTTGAAAACCAATACAGAGTACACCAGTCCTATAGCAGTGAAACATGCGAAATCAAGGAGCAAAATGAATGCTCGTAGGTCTACATGTATGGCTGAAGTAAACGCGTATCAATGGACGCAAAAAAGACACTCACACATCACATCCACGAATTCGTTTACTTTGGGTTTGCGCACGTTACTGGCAGTCCATGCATTTGTAATTTATGCCGTCGAACCAATGTGACCTAGCACACTGTAAATGGACACGAAAACCCTGCTGGAATGGGGAAGAGGGGGCTTGTACCGCGTTTAGCATGCGCAGGTGCCGCCGGCTATGATTTCAACAGACTGGTTGAGCGCGCATGCACAACCCAGCTTGCGTCAAGCACACATAAACCTTTGCGCCCGCACAGTGAATCTTTCACCAAGCGGATGGCGACGTTTTGAAAAGCACCGTGTGTACTGTTCCTGAACGAAGCTAATTCCTTGACCTACCTTCGGAAGAGCCGGCCCGTACTGGGATACCGTGTCTTTGTACAGTCCCACCTTGTCCCATGCCCCACCCACCGGGTCATGGGCGATCAGGACTGTGAACTCCTCTACCCAGTTGCCACTAAGTGTGTCGGCCCCGCCCCCTCCTTGGACAACCAGTCCCGTGACTTTTACTCTTTCCTACGAGAAAGCAAATTCAAGTATTACTTATTTCAAATCAAATGGTCAACCAAATACAAGAATCAACCAACCAGCGATCACCAGCACAAGCAACTTGTCATACGCCACCATGGCATATCGTAGCAACCTTCTCACACAAACCGCAAAAGACTGGAGCAAGAGATAAACCAAATATTGGACATATTGGAACAAAGAGAAAAGGGTTTTCCTACAAAACAGGCAAAAATGTGTCAACCCTGTAACCTCCTATGATAATTCTTAACTTCTGTCAAAAGATGAGGAAAATTTCTCGAGAATATCTCAAAAGGTTCTCTCTTTGATCCCCTTTTTACAAATATACTTCAAAAAGTAAGATCTGGACGAGTGTAAGATAAGTTTTTTTTAATAGAAACAAATCACTGAGTATCGTGTGGTAAAGTCCCCTTACCAGAAAATCGATTTGCAGATAAGGACGAGCATCCGCCGGCGCTGACTGGTTGAACTCTGCTGGATCGGGCATCCAGGAAGAGTTCCCGTTCAGACGGCCTTCCCAAGGGGCGTGGTCGAGATTTGCGTACGAGGAGGCGGTGAGCTGCCCGTCTGTGATGAGGCCCACCTCCAAGCCAAGAGGTAGAAGGCATTCTGCTTGTCCAGACAGGGAAAAAATTGCAGAGTCTGTTAATCCCATGGTTGGAATTGTATAAAGGCGTCATATTGATATAGCGTAGTTAAAGTTACCTTCCTTGGTGAGTCCGTTGTCTTCAAAGACATCGCAAACTGAAACAAGCACAGATAGTTTGTATAAGATTATCAAACAAATCTGGGACAAAATACCAATCAAAAACACGTGATCTCAATCAGTAGTGCTTGATAAAAGTATAGCATACATTACAACAAGTGCAAAATATTTATATTGTGATACCATTACGAATCCGAGCCCAAACCTGCAGATCTTAGTATTCAATGAGTGGATCCTATACTGTCCCAGTCCTTTGTAGCCACAAGTGTCTCTTTGTTCAAGTGTACGCCTCAGAAATAGGTGTTGTGTTTTCTGTGGGTCTCGTTTAATTAATTTTTAAAGTATTGTGTTGAGTATCAACGGCATTTATGAAGTATAATTCTGAGTACAATCGACGACAAAGGAGAAGGGGACGGCATGTCATCTGTAGCTTTGAAAGCTAACTCTATCGTCGATGCATTCCGTTCCCCCTCCTGTAAACTGAAACATCTACCTGCAGGGGACGTTTTACTTTAATCGGGTCAACTGGCCCTCCTCGCCGACTGGCCCTTACCGACTCGCCCTCTTGCTAACTGGTTAAAGGGAAAATGTTGATAAATTCGGAGAAGTGTAGGCCTAAATAAACTTGCGTTTATTATGATAAACACTTACGACTGGAAAAATTAGGAATCGCAAATTGATACCCCACAAATTAAAGAGCTGTAGTGAGAGGTAAAAGATGACATCAAGGTAATTCTCTGTGATTTGAGTAGTGTCATTCTTTTTCATTACGGTGGAAGTCATTTTCGACCCTGTGTCCTTTCGCCACGGTAGGATGGTTTTGTGTATTTGTGACTCATGCGTAATACACTGACCTTCAGTTCAATGATTGTGTTTTTAATGACCTTATTGAAACGAGTTTGAATTGTGATGTTCGAGTACATGTTTTGTCAATGTATAGATTTTTCAAACCACGTACACTGATTCTGCTTCTTACTTCGTTATTCGGTGTATAATTTACGTCGTTGTTCGTTGTCACGTTTGAAAAGCGCTGTATAAATGTTGAAATTTCTTTTGCCTTAAAAAAGCTATGCAAGTATTTTTGGTCAATCACTTACACATAGGCAATTGAAATTGGTAATTTTTTTGGAATATGCTCATTAAACTTAAATAAGACTCCATTTTATAAAAACAAACAAATATTTTTTTTACATTACAAATCTCCGAAAGAAGTGCTGAGAACCACGTCATGAATATTTTTGGCGAGCTGATACGCGGTTCCAACACTTACTTCACACACGCGTACTGACGCCTTATATAGGTTTTTTGAGAATTTGGGGTTCTGAAAAGAACCGGTCGTGGTGTTCACAGCAAGGCATGTGGAGGACACAACAATGCTGGGAAATGCTTTGAAAGACTTGAATTTTAATCCACACTATCCTTAACCTCTTAATCTTGGAAATTCAGATATATTGAGGTTCTTGGGAGAACAATTTATGTCCTCCTTGATAACCCTAAACAACTTCCATCCCGGTTAACACTTCTGGTTTCGGTACTTACCCCTATCTCTCATTACGTACAAATCCTCCCGTTCCGAGTCTCCCAGAGATATGTAAAACTGATTGACATCAGTCAGTGAGCACCGACGGCGCAAGGTGTCGACCATGACTGAGCGACAAACGAAATCCTTGCGGTTCAAACATTCTTCGAGGCATTGCTCGACCGTGAAGTTTGCCGGTTTGAAGGACACCAATTGCACAGCTGTCTTGTCGGTGTCTAAGATAAGCGTATGGTGTGGCAACTGGTCAAAATGAGTGGAGGAGGATCCTGTACCTAATGAATGAAGGAAAACGACAGTTCCTCTGTGTCAACAGTTGTTCTTTCCTAAAAAGTCTGATTTTGAAGGTGCAACAAACCTTACCAAAAAAGTTAGACCCGGCTGTAATTGCCTGTTTATGAGTTCGTGTTATTGTTCACCAATCATTCCCCTTTTTCACTAACCATTTAAAACCCCTCAATGTACAGCAACAATATCACTTTTTCCCTCCATTCTCCAAAAAGTATCTTTTATCAAGTTATCAATCTATTTGTTAATTAGGGTATGGTGAGACACCAAGAGGATGCCCTTTCATTTGGACAAAAAAGTGTCTCGCGTTAACTCTAAATTAAAACACTTCAAAAAGCTCATTTCTTTGCTTCAGCTATGTTTTAAAAAGTTAATATGCCCGGGGAGAAGATAATATGCGTCATCACAGATGAAGCTGGATACAATAAATATTTTCAATTCAATATTTTAGGAACACGTACAGGTAAAAACCTTGATTAGGTAAAGAAATCTTGCAAGAACTTATACGCTTTCTTTACTCCTAGGCTAGGTGAAAGAATTCATGACAACAATGTATTGCCTAATTACATACAAACTGCGATCATTAGTACTGGACTTCAACCGAAATGTGCAAAATTACATCCACTGAACACAGGAGCCTTACCTAACTGTGGTTAAAGTCAATTAAAATCTTAAGGCGAACACTGTCTACCACAAAGACAGAAATGCTATCCTGCAGAAAGAGATATTTAACAAAAGATGACCTTACATTCTGGAATTGGACAAAATCCTTTCTGCACTCTGCCATTTGCAAAGAAGTAGCACCAAGGTCGACTTTCACCATTTGGGTTCCTGCACAAGTTCTCTCTCAGATCTGTTCCAGTGAAATGTCAGAAAATATCAGTCGCATAATGTTCCATGGACACAGCCACTTTTAAAATACGTTGATGCTCAACAGTTCAGAAAAATTCAGTTAGTCGCCCTTCCACACGCCACATTGCTTCCAAACGCTGCCCAGAGAAAACAGACAAGTTTAATAAGAGGAGACAGGTGCTACAAACTCAGCCAGCAAAAAGTGGGAACAAGAGGAAACCAGGCAACGAAACTAGAGTAGATTTGTGGGGCCTTTCAAAGAAGGTAAGATATAGACTTAGAGAGATACATAGTGTTCAAGTGTTGTTTTAAAATGCCGTGAATGTTGTTCGCTGCGGCACGGTAAGAGCTGTTTCAATGTGCGGCAAGAGTGGTTTGGATGCGTGATGAGAGTTGGTTGGACGCGCCGTAAACTACCAAATGATTTAAAGTACAAGCAAAAGACCCGAACGTGCATACCTGCTGATGGGTACACTGTGCCATTTACCCCAAGATGCTGAACAGCATCCCATTGGAGGCACTGGTAACCACTCTCAGTAAACCGGCCCCCGTCCTGATAGTCGGAGCCGTCACCATGGTAGCAAGTTGTGTGACCTCCAAATGCGAGCAAACAGAAGGAAAAAAGTCACATGTAAATCTTACACATTTCGTAAGTGGAAAATGCATCCAAAATTTGTTGCTGCACTACCAGTGTACCAGCTTAACTTCCTCAAGGATAAGAATTATTTAATAGGGTTCCATTTTTGTTGTATCAGAACGAACGAATAAATAAATAGAGTAAAAAAGCATAAAACTCTATGACATTGTAGGTCAGCAATTAAGTGAAAGAGAGCAAAGAAAAGTCACCTATTTATGTTCATGACTTATGAGCCTTCAAATATTGCTGGTTGAAGACTTAAACATCTCAATCGACCATATACGTCTGACCTTTTAGGCTGTTTTGGTTATTATGTTTTTATGCGGGCTGGAGAGGAATTGGGTTATGACTTTAAGACTCTGCTAAGGCCAACTGAAAAAAATTCAAAGTAGTTAGGCACTTGAGACCAAACAATTGACTTTTATGGCCCTGTTCGATTCGAGTCATTTAAGTGTTAGAAGCGATCACAGGAGCTTATTCGTTATTGTTTTATTTCTTTTTTTCCCTCTCTAAGCTTCAATTTTGACAACCTCCTTCCTCAGCAAAGTGCACTAGCCTGCATTAAAATAAATTAGTCATCTTGGTAGGAAAGACGGCGAACACTACGCCTTTGGGGCAGAGACAACGATTAACGAACTGAAGTTCCTTACAGCAACATTTGATTTCAATAAGCCTTGGCAACGTATACATTTGTTCGGAATTAAAGAACACAAAAGTATGACAATTGGTTAGTTGAGGCTTTATTTAAAAAGTAGCTGAATGGAAAAAACACGTATTCCAAACTTTTGTCCTATTAGGCTCTAATTTGTTGGTCCTAAGTAAAACACGGTAGTTTCTAGATCCTCTTCAAAAAGGTCCACTGCCGAAATATGCAAAGCAGTTATAGAGTACAACCAGCAGTGAAATTCATATAAAATGATAAACGAAATGTCTCCTTATCAAATTCAGATATAATAAGGATATCTTTTAAAAGTTGTTATTACGAGCTCAGGAATCTGCAAAGGTGATAAATGGATTGTTTCTCTGCATTTGAGTTTTCTCCGTTAACCAAATCTCCTTTACAACTGCATTAAAGAACTGAATCAATTCCACTGAATTATTAATAGAAAATGTACCCATATAATTGTATTACATGCCGTTATTCTACACCAGAGGCAGTTTTCATTAGTTCAATTTTATTTTATTTTGTGTCATTTAGGAAACCAGCAGCAGTTGTTCTGAAATCCTTTGTGGACATCGTTGCTTGTTTTCTTATGGTTTGCCCACGAGTATGTGAATGATGGAGCAGTTATTCTGCAGACTTCTGTCACTGCACAACCCCCTGTCCTAGTGTAGGCGTTACTTGCATATGTCGGTTTGGCGGAATAATAAGTGCACTTATGAGAGGGTATGCTTGTTTGGTTGTTTGTTTATATTTTATGCTTTCCTATTTGTTTGTTCATTCTTTTAAAAAAATCTGCAATACATGATATATGCTTAAAATTTTGTATTTGATTTTTGTTTTACTTTTACCTTTATTAGACCATGATATTTCAAATGTATATTATGTGTCTTAACAAAAGGGGAGAAATAAGCCTTGGCTGAGAGGTAGTTATAGAGAGATTATGTTTAGTTTATACCTACTACAATTTTAATAAAAATCCTGTTTGCAAATTTGAAGAGGGAATGAAATCCAAGTTTGTTCACTGGACAGTCCGTCACGACCAGATGCACTTAGAAAAAAAGGGGAGGAAATGAACAGCATCAATTCAGCCTTCTGCTTCATTAACAAAATTAATGGATTCCTGGCTCTCACGCCATATTTGATGGCTTAATACGCCTGACCGCTGCTGTGGACTAAAAGGCTTTGCATGAAGGCAAATTAAACTGCATTTGCCATTCTGCAGTAACTGTTGTTTGTTCATAAGCAATAATTGAAATTGGTCTGCAATGTTTGCGTTTTGAAGGATTTTGAAGGAGGCTTTATAGCTTGTGTGAAATACACCGTGCAAAAATCATGAAATTAGGGGGCTTTAACCCCCCCCCCGAAAAAAATACGTCTCCGATTTCTCGTCAGGAGCTGGTTCCAAAAACTGTTGCGGCGGCGCGCCTTTTTTTTTTTACCCTCATCTTTTTTTTCTGGAAATGTATAACGAGCGATGTCCATTGCGACTGCATGTGCACATAGGCCTAACGCCGGACACTAAAACACCTGCACTGTTTAAAAGCCCTTTCAGTTTGTACATGCACACGTGACATAAGATGGCTTCGTTTGTATGGTTCCCGGATGTAAATACAAAAATGACGTCATCTGAAAAAGAATGCCAGACTGAATGTATGGGGATCTAGAGAGACCCCTTCACTGTACATAACCCTCAACCGTACGCAATCCAAAACACATTAAAATTACGCAGCAGCAGATTTCCAGTCGATTAAACAAGTTTGTCAACTTCTGATCATCGTTTCTTACCTTAAAAGAAATATTTCTTTTTCTATTTTGCCGACATGCAAGTCTACGGCGCTGCACGCGCTGATGACCAGAAACCGGTAATTTTATTTGGCCTTGATGAATGCCTTTTTTTTTTTTGGCTGTTGGGTCCCAAAATGGTAATTAAAAAAAATATTATTTAGAATTAGATGTTAATTCCCCCGTTAACGTTCTGGCCCTGACTGTATATATTATACACCGTTGATTATTACCAACTCTGAGTGCAATGTGGGTATGCTACTTACCATCACACGAAGGAACGTTGCAGTCCTCAAGATGGACTCCTAAGTAGTTATCCACCAAACAACGAGGAACGTCCACACCCTCTACAAACCGACAATAATTCTCCGTGAACCCTACAAAAAAAAAAAAAAAAAAAAAAACCATTGTAGAATTGGGCGCCCACGCATANAAAAAAAAAAAAAAAAAAAAAAAAAAAAACATTGTAGTATTGGGCGCCTCACGCATATAGCGGAAACTGAACTTAAGCATTTCCAACTTCGCAAGACATTTGAAGCCAAATACGGGATGGAGAGACCCCCCCGCCTTTGTGTTGGTCATTGTTTGATCGGAATCTCAGGAATTCTTTACAGACTTCTGTGGGAATGTGCTAGGTAACAATAGTCTAGAGTGTGTATATGGATCGGGCAGGTAAGGGGGGTACCCCCGTCCCATATCTTGCCTGGTACATGTATATCGCAAGAGTCTAAGTTTAGAGATGATTTCTTCTGGTGACAAAATAAAATGTTACTATTACACTTAGCGTATTTGGAAAACAGTGCAGCAGTTTTGTTTTGGGTTTGCTGTTGTTGTACCTGTCCTGTTGACTAAAATTGCCACGAAATTAAAAGTGCCGATTTTACAGTGGCAAATGAGGGGTCTATACATTTCCTGTTTTTTTATATATTGACATCAGGGAGTGCCATCGGGTAGTAAACTAGAAAACAGAAAGATCCCACCAAACCACAGCAAAGGAATTTAAATAGAATGAAGTAACTGGTCATTGCATGTCATGATCGAAGAAAATGGCAAATAAAAGAATGTCCACGCCTTCTTTTGCCGTTATCTGAAAGATTTATAATATAGTAAAATTCTTCCCATAACAACACTTCAAGATTGAGTGTGCACTTGCAAGAGAAATTACTTATCAAAATCGTCTATTCATTAAATAATGCATTTGGTAATAATCAAGGACGTCTGAGTGTCGCGAGACATATTAAGCATGAATGAAAGCAAAGTTAGTCCATTACTAAAATTAGAGTAAACGTTACATTAAACGAAACGATTTAATCTACTCAAGATTTACAACTTGTTCACAAGATTTCAAATTAAATGTGAATAAAACGTTTTCAAATTTACTGCATAAATGGAATCAATCAAAATCGAGGACACCAACAGAACAACATACTTTAATAATTATCTGTAGCTTCGCTCCCCGAGGGTCTGTTCATGGAACTAACTCCAACCTCTTATGGCACCTTATCACAGTTAAATCAAGTTAATTAAATCACTTTTACAATGCATAATCTGAAATAAACAGGTTCAATACGCCACTGTCTACAGCATCAGATATTTCTCAGCACAAATACAGGCATAAAGGTGGTCGAGGCAACAACTCCAATTTGAACATTCTGCCAAAACTTTGAGCTCAGTGCATTCCCCATTAGAAGCATGCTTTCGTCTCTCCAGAGCCTGAAGAGATACCTCCATACGTCGTGCTTCATCAACAAGGAATCCCATCTAGGGTAGACCACCTGTAAATATTCGATGTCAATAAATTCTTGCAATAATGTTGAGTCACTTTTCAAATTACATGTATACCTAAATCAACGATTCGATTCTTATATCACTACTCCACAAAATGTAACAAATCTAGCTCGGTAGGCCTACGGACTCGACGCCTATGATCTCATGTGAGGCTAACTTCTCTAAATCGCGCAGCGGGTATTAAAACAACATATTAGACAATCTAAATAATCCCAAACAGTCGAAGTTTGAGATTCAGTCCTCAATCCTGGTGAATTTCAGAATAATAAGTACAATGTTAGGGTAAATAATATACTCTTCTTGTTTAATTAAAGTATCAAAATAATTTCGTCACTTACGGTTGATGATCTGAGTCACTGACTTGTCTCCCTCACGCCAAAGTTAAAACAGAATCAATTTGTACTTTACTTGGGAAAACCAGCCTGGAGATCTATCCAAACACTACTGCAATTGTCCACAAGTCTGATCTTGGAGAAAAAACCTCTTGAGGCCTGAATTGCCATAGTAAAAAAACCAAATGTCGCTGCAGCAGAGAAGACTGACGGCATGTCCACTCAGGTTGGAATCATGGGGACAACTCCCATACCTTTCACTCTCCTTTCAGCACCCTTTTCAGCACTTTCCAACTCATTGACTCATACTTATTTCCAGTTCCATTCTAATTTAAATATAAACTAATGAATATACAAAGCGCTTCCTTAAAGGTTAAATTGCTGGGGAATGTGTATTGTGCGTGGAGGTGTGAGGACGATGCTGTTTGAAGTATTGTGTCTAGGTTGCTTTTACTGTCGTCATTATCATTCAACCACTGTTGGGGTTCTGGGCCACTCTTGTATGTTATATAAGAGTACAAAAGTAACAGAAGACAACAGAGAAAGGAATATCACAAGTATCCACAGGAACTATTACATAGCCACGATTATAAGAGAATGGCGATTTTATCGTGACAGACCTCAAAAACAGTTCTTTCTATTGTACATATTTACAAATTTGCCTTAAGGAATTATTATTTAAAAGTAGCCGGTTAAGAAGGTTTTTAGGTATTTTTCTTCTTCTTTGAACCACGTTTTAAGATCGTGAATATCAGTAAGCTAGTGCTGGTCACTCAGGATCAGGATTGAAGCTCGTTTTTTCTACATCGACCCATCAAGCTTACATTTAAGCCTACCGACTATTGCTCTGTAAACAAAAATATTGTTAAAGGCAATTTATATATCTTCTGGCACGTTTTCATGGTTCAGTTCATATCTTTCATAGTCGTCCATCTGGTACATGATGAATTTGTACTGGTCTCTATTGAATAACCTCCTGCATACTTCTCTGAGCAATGTTTTTTTTGTGTGTGTTGCACATTATGTAAATTACATGTGATCTGAAGTTCACCAATTGTATAGACTGGACTGTACTGATTAGAAAACAGTGGCCAAAGTAATAGAGGCGATGGAGTGCGCGTCACAGAGAACTAAAACTAAATTTAACTAGATCGTGTCTGACAAAGCGCCCTTTTGTAACACATTAGACAAAGCGCATCCTTTAGAAGAGCGAAAAACAGTGCTGGTCATGTTGCGTAGGACACTGCCCTATCTTGAAAGCTCGCTCACCACAGATTGGCGAGTTGTATAGTAAACGTTTGTATCCAGTGGTACGAGTGCTTCAAATTGATTGGGCGCATTAACGGTAGTGGTTCAGGTACAAACATACATGTACCTTCACATTAAACATGTACGCAAGATTTTGTAGCTGTGAACAGTAATTCTATAAATTCGATTGGACTAATCAAACTCTTGCATTCGTCATTTGCAGCCTAACTATTGATTTTCCTGCCGTTGATAGGAAAATTATGTCAATGTCTGATTCTCTTCGACACTATAACTAGGAAGATGCATTGCAGTGCAGCCATATCCATAATAATTGTCCAAATACTAAATTATGCATAAGGGTTTTTAATTCATTTGTGTTTTAAAAGTATTGTAATTTCTTTGTATTTCAAAAGTATAAAACAAGGCAGATAAAATACTAAACTTTCTAAAGATTCTAGGAATTGTTACATTTTTAATGAAGCAATTCCGTTTAATTAATGAACTTTTCCCGGAAACCACCTAAATTTTTAATTTCCCCATATTTTAATTAATATGCTCTATTAGAACCTGTACCTACATAATTCTTGCCAGTTTTAGAGCATCCCTCAAAAATAAGGATACTAATCTGAGTCAGTGAATGTTCTCTGGCCCCGGGGCCCAATGTCCAAGCTGCTCTCTACTGGAACCTCTGACAAGGAACTGCAAAAAAAGTTTAATTTATTTACCATGTGCCGGAACCAAAACATAGAACAAAAAAATGTTGACTGACATACAAAGGAGATTCGAAGTCTCTACAAGACAGTAAAATCGTGCCGACAGAGTTTCCTTGGACAACAAATATGGATGCAGTTATAATCCAAACAGCGCCTTTCCCCGGGGAAATTCCAAACTAATTGTAGAAAATTAATACAATTTTAACTATACGCTTTGGAAAAGTGGAATTAGTGGGCAGGGGGTTAAAAATGACACCTCAGGTAAATTAAAGTCACGCTGTGGTATAATGCATCCTTGTAAAGTGTTTGTGGTTACAGCGCCAGTGCCGTAATTACAAAGAGGTATCAAGGAGAGGTCACGCTCTTCACCGTTCAACTATAACAATGCGAAACAAGTACATGTTGTATACGCAAACAGGGTTTTAAAGTGTCTAGAGTATGGGATACTTTGTCTCTGCATGAGAAGGCTTTTTAATGCAGGAATTGTTCCACCTGGCATCAGTCTTCGCGGCCGTAAGTAATTTATTGATATCATTCACCATGTACGTATCGAAAAGGTAAATAGTCTGGAATCGTTGAAAAGATGATGAAGAAAATACTTCAAGCTGTCCAAAGGACAATGTACTCCGTGGCTGACTTCGCGCTTCGTTGAAGTTTTCATTATAGGCATTAAAGTGAAATACTTAAACCAATTTTCTTTAGGGAATTCTTGTAAAATCATTTTTCCATATCATTGTTCTCAACAAAATGAATGTAAATGAAAGGGTGTTCTTTTGTGCAGGAAGTACTTGATTTTGCTTTCTTCTCAAAGCCAAAGCAGCCATTAAACGATTTCATGCTAGAATTCCCCTACTGAGAAATTTTTAAAATAAAAAAAAATTCCCCTCCAAGAATTTCTCATTGATTGATCCTCCATCTCAGATTACTTGAACTACACCCGCTAACCTCCCCCTACCAAAAAACAGGCACATTAACATAATGCACAGGAACCATATTAAAGTAAATATACAGAGATTAAATTCAGCCTGGCCACTTTATCGTAAAATAGTCCAGGTATCAAGAGGATAATCATGAAATCTCTACACATCTAGGATAGGGTTAAATTATTTCAGCTTTGGCCAGCTGTCGATTGTTCTATGACACATTGAAGATTTTGGTAAAAGTTCAGCGGCATACAGTTACAGGGCACAACACCTTACACGAATTTTAATTGGACTCAATCTTGCCACGTCTATTTTTTTTCAGGAAGAACGTGCGCTTCGCTTGCGGCTTTTGTACGTTTTCTAATAAGGGTGATCACTGTTAAATTATATTTTAAATCTGTCAGAATTAATTTCAGTTACCTTGGTTATGATTAGCTATCTGTATATCGAGATAAAACATTTTTGTCAAATGATTGATGCTTTGGTAAACGCAGGGCAACATGGTTTGGGACGACAGAAATGCTTTTTGCTTAATGGAAGCCTTGTGCTGTCTCTTTAATGTATATGTGTTGTGATATTTCATTAGAAACGCCTGTTGAAATAGTGTCTGCCAGTCGCAAATGCCATTGGTTGATAATCAAGCAGTCATCTTCCTCCCATGTCAGGGAACTGGCAAGATGAAGCAAACAAGGTCACACTATAGCAATATTCCTCAGTAGCTAGGGACGATTTTAGAGAAACAAAAAAGTTTCAAAGCAAAATCACCGGTCACTGTCCATATTAGATTAGATATTTTTGGGAAAGACAGATCAGGTTTGTATCATAAAAAAGTGCAAAAATACTGAAAGAGGTTTTCCTACAATGAAGCACAACCTCGGTCGAAGCTTTTTTTAAAAAAATGATACTTCAAATGGTTTTCTGTGGTTAACTTAGCCAGATTATGCGGTCTTCTTTTATAAAATAAATACGTTTCGGCGGCTCACTTTGTTTTAACGAAAGAAATNCTTATTAACGAAGAACAAGTAAATATAACCACCTGGGTTATGGCCCAAAATATGTAAATCATAGATCAATTTAAGGTCCCCGTAGCAAACCCATTAGCTGTATACTATTGCCAAATCTGGTTGGCCATGAGAAAGAAATGTGTAGTAATACAAAAGAAAAGACTGAGTATTATTTCGTTAATTCAATGGTCTTTACAAGAAAATGACTACTCTCGTTGCGTTTATACATCTGCTTATATCTAATAAACCGAACTCCAAGCTATACTACAAAGCCAAACATTTACACACACGTACGCAGTATTGAAATTGATATATTTTCAGGGGGGGCAACGGATTCTGTCGAAAACACCGGGAGAAGATTGCTCGTAATAGCTGTATGCTGTTTCAGGTTAATTTGCTGTTGTGTTACAACACCTGTAATTTCTACAAGAATGCAATAATGGTCATGCTTAACATTTCCACATTATTGACGTTACATTCTGCGTAGCAGTTTCTGAAAGAGGGTGAAGATTCCCAAGATATAACAATGAGAATAGTTAGCTGCTAAGAAATGTTATTCCTAAAGCAATTACTGAAGATAAACTCAAGGGGTATTAAGAGGGTGTCAAACAAATGAATCTGTTGAAAGTGCATAACATTATTAACAACCTGCCGGTTGTTGTTGCTGCTGCTGCTGCTGCTGTTGTTGTTGTTGTTGATACAAAATGCTAACTGAAGTGAATTAATCTGAAATAAATTAGTTTTTAGTTCTTTATCTACGGCACAACCGCGTTTCTGCATCTTGTGGATAACACACCTATATTTCCTGCATTTGCAGATACGTGCTGTAACAATATTTGTTTTTTACCTTTATGGCCCTGCGACCTCTCAGTTTTAAATGTTGAAGTAGTAATGCTTTGCACAAAGGACAAGATTTATGGGAACTTGAGTGTCGCGCATGTGTACTTGTAAGCTTGAACACAAGCTGGCTGTCTGTGCATCTGTCACCCAGTTCAGACCGAGACGGACACTCGAAGGGGGAAGAACTCGAATACTGCGTTTTCTGAGGGATTTCTCTTCTTTTTCATTCTATCGTTCACTAATAAACTTTTTAAAATTAGCTCCAACATTGACCTCCAATTTCCTAAGTTTCAAACGATAATTTTAGTTGTTCGATTTCTATGTAGGAGCCGTCTTTCTATAGAAGTTCAAAATTGAAAAAAGTTCCTTTCGATTAGTCTAGAAAAGCAGGTTGTAAAAAATCCAATAAGCAAACTTCTAACAATTATTTCATCATACCTACCCTCAAGCTCGCTTCTCTAGCTTTTCTTATGAGTTTGTATTTGCAAATAAAAGATGATCTTTCAGGAAGGGACAACAGACCAGACTTGTGAATGAATGCATCAGA